TTACCAATATTCTTCCGAAGTCTGATTTCTTTTTAAAAAATGCGTTTCTAAAGTGCATAAACTTTTGGGATTAACTGTATAGGCAATACATTCTTAAGAACGTGATCGAATTCCAATTTATATGGTGATTAGTTTCTGGCGCCGTAGAAGCGATTTGAAAAAATTATGAATTCCCGAACATCGGGTTATAGTAGTACATCGATAAACTTCTTTAAATAAAATCGATAAGAATTACAAATATAATTAACAATGAGAGCGCGATGATTCTCGGAGTCTGCGCTCTGTAGCCTCGTGCTTTCAACCCCTCGAATCCGTGGAATAGTGGGAGGGACGTGGATCCGTTCGAAAGCTGAAACTCAGCAAAGATCTTTCACGCTTAGATCCTCCCCGCGAACGTTTCAATCCACAGTTTACCAATCGTACGTGACAATAGGAAATGAATGTTTGTCAAAGTTGATGCGAAATTAATTTAACGGTCGACTTTTATGGTGAGACATGTTCGCGTAAGTGTTTACAATTCTAATTAATTCACACTTTTTAATCTGTTTGTGTTGTGAATTTCTATTTGAATTTGCTATATTTAAAAAAAATCCTGTAAGGCACAAGTAAAATTCGGCACCTGGATGGAAGTACATCTATGAATTGTTTCACAACTTTTTAAACAATAACTACTAGTTTCGAGGAGAAATCTGAATATGAAAATCTCGTTTCCCATTACCTGAACGGACGCGCGCCCTCCTATTCTAGCCGGGCTCTATTTCTCTGCTTTTTATTGGAAATACTTGCATGCCAGCCACTTTAATTTCGCCTTTTTCATTAACGGCTTCTGTAAACGGTCGCCGCGGCGCATCACACATGTACATTAAACACAATCTCCACATGACTACATATATTACAAGCCAGTATAAATAAATGTATCCTGTGAGCCGATATAAATGAAATTCTTTACCACAAGCTTCTCATTAGCATAATGCAATCTTTTTTATTTACTATTTCAGTTGGCAAGGAGTTATGAAAAAATTAAAAAACGTAGTACTTATCTAAATATGTATTCCAGAATTATTTTAGATTTTCACATTGCAAATTGAAAAAAAAATTTTAAAACAATTGACAGCAACCGAAATTTTATATTCACTGTTCATAAATTATTCTGCTGATGGTAAATCAGTAAAATATCAATTTGTCACGATTTTAATGATAAACGTAGAGGTAAGAGAAAGGGGTGGAAAAAGATGGGTTTGAAAGGGGGGGATGATGACGGTAACGGGGTTCACTCGAAAAATCATTGAGTGAGCAAACCCGTGCACTCGTGGATCCTCGGAAGCTGCTGAATGTGCGGCTAAAGAGAGCACTCTCGCCCCACCAGGCTATTCCTTCAATCCCCCAACCCCAGTCCCTAAACGATTCTTACCCCAACATTCAAAAGAAGATTCCGATTCATCTAATTCTTATGTTAAAAAATTCCCATATGCACTTGTCACCCCCTGGAATATCTTCAATTATTTTCAAAACGTTTCAACTATTATAAAAATAACTTTAAAAAATGATTAAAACCCTTATATCACTTTAAATTGTATTATTTGTCATTTATTAATAATTATTATCGATTTGTCGTGTAGATTTATAATCCTACTGTTGGTGTGTACTGATGGTAGAGAGAATTATGCCTTCGATGGGGAAGCCTCGCGGAATTCGTCGCGAAACGCCGTAGCAACGAGGGGAATCGTCAACGACGTTGTCTCGAAGAATATAACGATGGTCCTAGAAAATCTGTTAATGAATTACGAGAACAATCAACTGCCCACTCATGGGAAAGGTAATCTCGATACTTGAATTAAATGATGATTGAAATTAAGCTAGAATTTTTCGTCGCCAATCAAGTATTTTACTAGAACTGCTAATTATAATTTGTACATTTTCCGTTTAATTGCTCGATCGGATTTTTCGAAATTGCAAAGTCAATCGATTGAACTGATTGGATTAATTTTAATCCTCCGTATAGAAATGCGACGATCGATCGATCAAAGGATTAGGAAAATTGGTTCATTCCTTGTAAAGATAAAATCCAATCTCAAACCGGACAGTTAAACGATATTTTACTTTTGAGTTTGTTAAAATTTCTTTCCCTCTATTCGTCGATCAGGGACTCCGACCATCGTCAAGACTAATATTTTAATCAGGAGCATGGGCCCTGTTTCGGAATTAGATATGGTGAGCACTTATATTTTATATTTTCCAAAGTTTATTATTCCCCTGTCCCTCCTGAAACAATTCTCTCATTTCACTCGATCGTCGAATCTCGTAATTAATTCTTCTTAGGATTATTCGATGGACTGCTACTTTCGTCAATCGTGGCGTGACTCGCGTCTCAGCTTCCTTGGCCCGATCAAATCGTTGAGCCTGAGCATAAAAATGTTGGAAAGAATCTGGAGGCCTGATACTTACTTCTACAACGGGAAACACAGTTACGTGCACACTATAACGGTGCCTAACAAACTGCTCCGAATATCTCAGGACGGAGACATTCTTTATTCGATGAGGTGATCATGCAATAATTAATATAAATAAAGGACGAGAGAAATGTTTGAGCGGAAAACCGAGAACTGTTTTAAATTCAAATTTTCTGTTTCAGTTTGCTTGCGAATTAAATATTTTATTTATATTTCTAGATTAACTATAAAAGCGAAGTGTCCGATGGAGTTGAGGAATTTCCCCATGGATCGGCAATCTTGCCCGTTGATCCTCGGCAGCTGTGAGTAATTCAGTTATCATCATTGCGGTTTAAAAGAAAGTTTATTATCGATGAAAAGGGGCCGTGGAAACCATGGCCACTGAATACACGATGATTAATCGATGTCGATTGAATTATGTCTTATAGAAAAATGATTTGTTGAAATTCATTTTTAATTTGCAGACGCTTATACCTCCCGGCAACTGGTGTACGAATGGCAGGACAGTTCGTCGGTGAACTTCGTCCCTGGGATGACGTTATCACAGTTCGATCTAATGGGTTCGCCTTGTAGGAATTTAACGTTCGTCAGGAGAGAGGGCGAGTTCTCGGTGCTACAAGTCTCCTTCAATCTGCAGAGGAACACTGGATATTTCTTGATCCAAGTACGTGCATACGAGATTATTGATCCTTTCTCGGATCATTCGGGTTCTCGACGTTTTTCCGATTTTTTAGTATCTCTTTACTTTTCAGGTTTACGTCCCCTGCGTGTTGATAGTCGTGCTCAGTTGGGTTTCGTTCTGGATTCACCGGGAAGCGACTAGCGACCGAGTCGGATTAGGTAAAAATGATTCATTCCTATTTGAAAAGAGTAATTGTTCGAATCGATCCGGAATAATTCTTACCCTACTACTTCAAACACTTATTTATATCTTTTTTCTTTTAGGAATCACCACTGTCTTGACGTTGTCCACGATTAGCCTGGATTCGAGGACCGATTTGCCTAAAGTGAAATACGCGACCGCTCTGGACTGGTTCCTTCTGATGAGTTTCGGCTACTGCAGCGCTACGCTGTTGGAATTTGCAGGGGTTCATTACTTCACGAAGGTATCAATCAGGAACGACGCAGCGGAAACATGTACAAGATGCTCGACGGTCCTCAACCTCGTTTATTTAATTAGTTTCGTACAAATTCATTTAAATAGCAAATCGTTTTGTGCAAGAACACTTGAAAGCGACTAATTAGAGATCAGAATCGACCGTTTCATCTCCATACGTGATCCGCTGTACACGTAGAAATTTAAATCGACGAGGAGTGTACGTTCCATGTGATTTATTTTATAATTACTTTCCGCTGTTCTAAGGATCGGAGCGCGAGGCACTTATCCTGAATTCGATTTACAACTATTTCATACTAACTAATTTGTTTGTTATTCGTTTTTTAGGTAGGGAGTGGAGAGATTCCTTTGGATGAAGAAGATCTCACTGAGGAGTTCGAGACTGTCGGAGCTGCTGCGAATGGTGATTATCAAAATGATTTCTGCGGCTTCGTTCCCTGCAGTCCTGAAACGGTTCACCCGGAAATCACGAACATAATGGATGTTGAAAGAAGGGAAAGACGAAATAAGAGCAGCTCCTTAATTTGCGACGTCTATGATGTCGATGTAAGCACAAATGTACAGGAGCCAGTGTCTTACGGCAGAGGAAGAGGTTCTATGACAGTATCGTCAGTGGCCTCGAAACCATCTACGATGGAACGACAGACACAAACCGACGTCTGGATACCGAAATGGAGACAATTCATCTACTGCCTCACCGGCGACGAGGACTTCAGGTGATTAATTACTATTGATACCAGAATCTTTGAACTATTCGTGCTAATCGGTTTGTCAACTGTTGCAGGAGGAAGAGGCAGAGAGAAGCAGCTGGGAATTGCAAAAGGCAAGGAGAGAACATTGCCAGGCACATAAACAGTGTGTCTTCCATAGACAGAGTCGCACGGGTCGTTTTCCCGGCATCGTTCGGTTTATTAAATGTCCTGTATTGGGTAACTTACGTTAGTTATCAAGAAGATTTCAAGTGGCAGGACCCGCCATTAGGCTCCATATCCAATTCGGTTAATTAGATAATTGTTTCCAATGTAGTTTCAACGAATTTGAACATGTAACTACTTATTAAAGTACGCATAAATAAATGAACGTAATGAACGTGATTCTGTCTATCTTTAATCATTATTTACCGATGTTGTAAACAATAAAACTATTGTAAAACCTTATTTTTCATCCCAGTAAAAAATTTTCTTAGTATGTATCGTATATCTATAATCAAAACCCAATACTAATGCCACCGAGAATCAGCTCCTCCACTTACGCATACTATCGCACCTCGCACCGTATCCGTGTGCTCCGAGCAGTCCGAGTCCGAAGTTCCGAAGTCCGAGTCGGAGTCCGAGCTCGGCTTTCGGCCCTCGGCTCAACTTCGGCTTCGAGTTTCCAAACATCAAACAAACATCATCGGCTGCAAAAGTATGAGATTTTATGCAGTCTGTCGCTAATTCTTAAATATGGAAATCAATCCTTTGAGCATAATTCTCGTGAAGAGCGATAGCAAAGGCGACAGACTGTTATTCCGTTATCCGCACGTCGCGAAACGCAAACGAGACTCGAACAGGTTGACCAAAAGAAAGAATCCGTACTCCTTGATTGTCACTGAGGACTCCTCGCAGGTAAACAGCCTCGCAACGATTTATGATCCTCCGTTTCCCGTTTAAATATTCGTGAGATCGTTTCCGCAGTCGTTGCCCCAGCCCCAACCTCAACCTCAGCAGCCTCAGTCGAATGCGACCAACGGCAACTGGACGGGTGTCACCGATGAGGTCCTGTCGACCTTGTTCGCCGTCAAGGCGGAGTTATGTGAGCAGAAGTTCGAGCTGAAAGTGAATGACGCGAGATTCGTCGGACACCCAACGCTTGTACCATCCCATGGCCCCGGCGAGGCTAACAATTCGTCGATGTTGTTTGACATCGTGTTCGCTCTCCAGGCACAGGCCAGTCACTCGGTCGTCGAGTGTTACCACGATCTGAGTAGAAGGTATGTTCAATTTTCAACGTTCGACCGTCGACGATCGACAAATGGATGGTAATCATCGACAGATTAGGCATAGCGTCTAGGCACGAGGAGAGGAGATGTGGCTTTCTCACGGAAGAGATCAAGATCATGGTCTCGACCCACGATGAGGTCGCTGCCAGGTTTGTTCCTCATCTTGAAATCCTATCGAACGTTATGTACTTGAGGATCTCATGGTGCTGCGTCATTCTTACAGATCCGAAGGCGAAAGCGATTCGGACGAGTCTCCTTACGAGCTAATCTTGCAACGCAGCTCCCTGGCACGGGATCTGAAATCGGTGTTCGGCAGCCTGACCACGTCCGGTATAATAAACGTAACAATCAACAAATGGATCCAGGTTCGCTTTTGTTTGCCACAGAAAGTTCATCAGGCTCACAAAAAGGAATTTGTCATGGATCCCGAGATCATCGACAGGTGAGAGGCGCTCATCGAATTAATGTTTAAACTGGCTGTAAATACAGTTTTCCTTGTTTGGCAGATGTTTGAATAGCCTGAGACCGTACCACGGGCTACTGCTGTCCGTGGAACCATCGGACCTCCTCGATTCCCTCCCCATAGACTCGTCGCCGGCGCTCAAGAGATTGATCGAAGCGTATAGTCCGTTGAAAAGCCTTCAGAGCCTTTCGGCTGACTCCGACCTGACGCTGGCTCAAGTCTTTCAACTGACCGGACACTTGGTCTACTGGGCCAAAGCCACTGTGATCTATCCATTGTGCGAGAGCAACGTCTACGTTGTCTCCCCGGACGCTGCAATCAACGATCATCACTCATTGGAAAACTTCGCCGAGCAGTTCCCTGGACTCCGTCTGCTGCAGGTAGGAGACGTCTCAAACATCGTTAGAGAACGTGAATCTAAAGGCAATCATTTCGCATAGGTGCTCAGCGACTTCTCGTTGCCGACCAGCATCAGCCAGAAGTTGAACCCACTCAACCAGTCCCTCCAGCAAACCCAATTGATCAAGATAATAATTTGGCTGCTGAAGAATCATCGGCTGCTGCAGCTTCACACGTACGTGCGACACATGCCCACGGTGCATGGTCGTTCGTCCACGGTAATGATCGAACACCGCGTTTAATTTGAATTTGAATCGCTCGACGAGTCTTCTTTCCATAGGAATCGAACGAGGAGAACCGTCGATTGATCGAGCAGCAGCCGGACGCGGAGTCGCAGAAACCAGCGAGTTCCGACGCCGCGAGCGACGATCTCTCCCCGGAATCCAGCATCCGTAAGGACAGCAACAATCATCAAACGGAGGACGACAAGAAGCTGCTGGACAGGTTGTGCAGGCTGGGCTACCTTGACGGCGGACATCACTTGGAAGAAATCATGTACCTGGAGAACATACGCAGATCGCAGTTGCTGCAGATCCTCGACAAGTTCCGGGACGCGCTGATCACGTTCGAATGCGAGGATCCGGCTATAGCCATGTTTCACAGCCAGTTCGGATCTTAATCTCTCTCCCACAATGGCTCGGTAAGATTTGTTCAAGCTCTCTTGTGGCTCTCTCAAAAGTATAAACGTCTAATATAAATAATCGATCGATGGATTTAGTGAAATAATTCATCTGTCGACTTGTAGCGGATAATTAATTATTGGATTTAAATAATTGTCGATAGTTCCACATGGAGATGGCAGTACCCCCCAGTGAATGTAAAGAGCCACACTCAAATATTTCTGACACGAGACTTTGTAACAGGTAAGCTCAGCAGTTAAAGAATTCATATACATTTAATTAATTAATTGTTTGATTAATAGAGTGACCTGAAAGAAGATGAGTACGATCAATGGATAGTTAAAAAATTATTTTCAATCGGAAGAAATGCCAGGATTGCGGAAGAAGCCGAGGGAAAACCAGCCGAGATCCAAGTAGATTATTTATTGTAATTAATTACTTAGTAGTTGGTAGATTCCTTTTAATAAAGTAATCGTAAGTTTATCATCAAAACCCTAGAATGTTTCGGTTAAAAACGATCCTAGCATCGGAGCTTCAGTAGTCTTACGGTAAATCAAAATTCTTAATTCTAGTATGAAATGATGGAGAATTTCATATAAATTCGATGGGATAACAATTTTAAATAGTATCAATAAATAAAACATTGAAATAATCGGGCAAGCGCGGGGATGTTTCTGCTGTTACGGATTGTGGGAAACGCACAGGGATCGAAAACTGGTCTTTGCGCAAGTATGCTCTCTCGTGACGGCGAGTATAGTAGAACATTTAAATCCCGACGCGTGCTCGCCGGCGCTTCCACCTGTTAGCCGTGGGTATGTAACGCGAGTGTAACACGTTTTCTCTTTAATTAACTCGTTAGTTTTAAATCTAGAGAAAGAAATGCCGTTGCTTTAGAAGTTCTATTAATATATTGCCAACCAGTTAAATCACTGCTTTACAATCTTCGAATTATTCTCAACTTCTCAACACAGCAAGTTTGATTGAATTCGTAAATGTTTGCCAGCACGCGTACGTCAGCGACTGTGCAAACATCGTCTAAAGTAGAATATATAATGGGTTCTGTTTAGCTGTTTATCATTTTCAACGTAGTAAGTTTGATTGAATTCGTAAATGTTTGCAAATCGTGCTTTCGTCAGGGGAGAGGCGATTGTCGTTTAACGCGTTATAACTTGCGCTTATCTGGAGGCCGACACCCCGAGCTATAGGTGTTAATAGGTGATGCGACATGCAGGAAGCGGAGATAATTAGAATAGAATAACATGCAGGTACTTTAGATAAATGATATTTCTATTTATTTTAAATTTGACGAATTGTCACTTCGTCCGTTTTTCGATTTATCCACGTTCGCTGATGATCAAACAACTTTGCGATCGAAACAGAGAATTCGAGCTTGAATTTCAGCTAAATCGATCCATTGTTAGCAATGTTATGAACGATCGAAGTTGAACAATATTTTCTTGCAGGAATACAATTCTTGAGGTCGATTTATCGCTTCAAATGCTTGATCTGCTTTGCGATTGAAGATATCGGACTGGAAATTTAATTTGGAAGGTGTGATCCTATTTAAAATTGAAAAATCGCCAATCTATTTAATGTGGAACGTCATTCTCTCGATTGAATTATATCAGTCGTTAAAAAAACATCTTCGCTTTAACTGGCAAATGATTGTCGCGTCTGAAGTAGTATTTTCCTGCACGGAGGAAAAACTGCATTTTAGAAAGTGCAGAGTCCTGGTACCAGCGTTGGTACCAGCCAAGAACTACGAGACGTACACCTTAGAAACGTGAGAGTAGTGGGGATCCGAGTAGAGGTAGCTGTGCCAGTCACTGGAGTCCTCTCACTGCTCGTCAAGTCGCCGGGCCGCTCGCTATATCTCTCTTCTCTTGCTCAAACTCTTTTCAAACTCCGGAACTCTGTAAAGAGTCGTTTCGAAGTCTGCAAAGTTTTCCCTTTTGAAGTTCCGTTGATCACATCGAGTCAAAGTTTTGATCGATCGGTTTAGGAAAGGATTGGTGGTTCGTTTTAACTGTTGGCTGAATCAGTGGTTGGATCGAGGATGGAGAAGGAGCAACCGGACTCCCTGGCGACTGTGGCCGTCGTTTCCGAGAAGATGCAACACCAGGCTCACAGCAATTACGCCCCTAGCGAGGTCTACTCGACCACCGAACCACCACCCGTGAGTTTATCAATTCCACTTTATCCTTCAATAGAATTGAATCATTTAGCGACTATTTTCGTCCGGTAGTGGTCGATGCGCGGGAGGATTATAGAGAGTAGAGACTTTAATTCGAGCTAAATCTATTTGACAAAATTTTTCATTGGTATATAATTTTTTTTACTAAGGTGTGGCTTCAAGTCTTATCGCTTGGTAGAATTCCAGTGACCATCGTAGAAAGATCGTTTCATAATCCGAAGATCCGTGGTGAGAAACGAAGTAAAAAACTGGTCGCAAGGACAAAGAGATAGCCGCTAAGAATAAATATTCCTGCAATTACACAGGATGCTTAAATATGTATGCGGCTCGTTAGCGTAGGATACTGCGTTCGCACGTAAGCGCGAAGGTCGTAAAACGATTAGAACAGATCATTTTCTTCTTCGATTTACCATATTATAAAACCAATCGCTCCGGTCGTCCATTTTTTAAAAAACAGCCGAGCTACTGCTCGTACGTGCAAGTTTAATATTTCTTCTACAATGATATAAACTTGAACTCTAAGCTGTTGGGAAAAATTGTTGGGAACCACTAGTGAAAGTCGGAGTATGGTAAAGAAAGGTTTCGGTTCAACTTGTTAACGTTATTAATCTTGTTTGACAAAACTGGTTTTAATGGAAACTCTCGTTCGGCTCTCTACAAGGTGTTGTTATGTAGCCGAGAGCGCATACGGATGCAGGAAGCATAATATATAATGAATCACGAAACTCGTTTTCCTACCTTTTCAATTAGAAACCGGAAGAGGAGTCGATTAAAAACTCGTCCAGAAACTTTCACGGAAGTCGCTCCCGCGCTCTTTTTATTCCGTTGCTTTTGTCTTTAGGACGAGGGCATAAAACGATCTTTGGTTCTTCCGACCGATATTTCTGTCAACATCAGAGCAGATTGCTTCGACGTTGGATGGAAATGAAAGCCTGAGATCTATACTTTCCGACTCAATTTCTCTTTAACTGAATTGACTTCGCGTCGAATCTCGTTCAATTTTAAGGTAATGGTCGACTGTCGGTGACTTGAATGCCTGGCAAGGTAACTGTGAATCCCTCCAACGCGCTCCGACCCGCGAGTATACAGGGTGGGCCGATAGAAAAAGCAGCGATTTCGTTTCGTACCGGAGACGTAGCAATCATTTCATAATGTGTCTACCTTGTCTATTATTTGAGTACACTCTTCCATAGGCAGGCTAACGTGGTTTCTACGTAATTGAAACTCGAGTTTCCTGCGTTATGTAACCAGTCCTCTGACTGGCATTTACATATGTGGAAACTCCGTTCTTGGGGAACAATAATTCTGATTGAATTTTATTCGGTTCCACGTCGACGATGATCGCTCAGAAATTATTCTAATTATTCCTACTACAATTTTTGTCGATAACTTCTTTTAAAGCGATCAGTTAACGAGCTCTTAATAATTTCAGTTCGCAAAGGAATAAAAACTGCAGATTCTCTATTATCTTCGACTGCGGCGGAGGCTGTTTACTTTTCAGCAGAAAAGATCAGAGCCTCGAATGGCCTACTATCTCCTGGCTCGAGGAGCCTCTCACCTTACGGCTCGTCCATCCGCATCGAGGTCATTACAAACACACATACGCATCTACAGCGTACTACACTCCCCGTCGCAATTGCCCTTTCCCGTCAAATCAAACCAAACACGAGGCAAATTATTCTCTCTCTCAACGTACAGGTCAACCCGAGTCCCGAGTGTATAAGTAATTCTCATTTAATTATTTTTGAAATCGATTGCAAAAATATTTCCTGGTATCCCCAGTCTCTCTCTCTCTCTCTCTCTCTCGTTTCATTTAATTGCCGTAAACTGTGATTAGGTAATCACAGAGGCAGAGTTATGTAACTCGGAATTCTTCGTTCCGTGCAAAGAATCGCGCGAAACCATTTCGGCCCCGCTATTACCAGGTGTCCATCGCCAACGATGGTGATTCCTTTTCTGATACAAATCCTTAAGTAAGCAGAATATTTTCAGTACTCATCATCCATTGGAATCGAAGAAACGAAATATGAACCGCGTTACCACTTACAGAAAGGCTCTTGTAACATCATAGTTCGATCGACGAGGACTCTTGGTTTCGTTGTTGGTGAAGTCTGAGTGGAATAGGTTCTTAACGGTATTCTCTCGATCGGATCCCCCCGTTTATCTGTGGAAGTGGTAACCGTGCGAAAAGAGAGCGTAAAACACCTGACAAAAGACCTCGACTCGGTTGGCTAGCCAGTCATGAAGTTCTAATTCCAACTGTAGACACTTTTAGCCGATAATTAACTCCAGTCACTGTGCATACGCGATTAAAACCAGGAGGATGATGACTAACAAGCGATATCATTTGAATCTGTCCCAGAATTGGACAGGATCCGATTTAGGTAAAACCGTTGGACGAACTTGGAGAGTTCAAGAATTCAAGCTATAGTTTATTTCATTTGCTCGAACATTAACCGAGTCATCGATAATCGAAGTATTCCTTCGATTGGCTTAATTATTCGTTAATTTTCCAGGCGTACATGAGGCCGAGGAACAGCACAGCGGTGCAGATCGCGAGAATAGCAGCCGTGACTTTGGTGGCCATGTCGGTGATCCTGGGCAGCTTCATCTTGGCCGGCTCCTGGGTCCAAGCCAGGGCCTCCTGTACCCCGGAGTCCATAGCGGCCATGCAAGCCGAAATGAGACTCCAACAGCAGCAGCAGCAGTCTTCCCTCAATTACCCTCAGCCCGAGTTCCTCAAACACTTGCAGCCTGAGGCTCTCGTCCAAGTAAGATCTTCGCTTCATTTAAATTTAGTTGAAATATTGAAGATACGATGAATCGTGGAAGGGTCGAGAGTTCGGTTGAAAGGATGAGCTCACTTTCACTCGAGGGAAAATGAGAAGAGTACTTGCTTCTATGTTTACGATAGATTTAATCAGCTTTCAAAGCCTGAGGCTCGACCAGGAAGAGCATCACTTCCTGCCTTCTTTCCTGCGTTCTTTCTTTCCTTCGTACAATCCGATTAAATTCCATTGATCGCACGTGATCTTCTAACAGAGAACCTGCGAAACTCAGAGAGCTTTTAAACAATTCATTACAAAAGCTGAAGAAGAAATTGATCGGTATCTGGTAACTCGCCACGCGGGGCAAAACGAGTCAAGTCGCTTTCCATTTGAGAAAACGATTTTATAGCCAGTCGACCGACAACCCGTGTAATTGCTGGAAACGAGTGAAATTTCTCAATACGTTCGTGTCAGTGACTCCCATCAAAACGTATTTTCAAATTCTTCGATATTTCAGTGCTTTTCTTCTCGCCAGTTATGACAATCAGAAAACTTTGAAAAAAATTCAGTGCACGCTGTCACTGTATATTACCAAGTTTTCAGTACACTTTTGCATCGACAATTTTCGTGGGAAAAAAAGAGAATTTGACTTGTGATCATTTTTTGCAATCGAGGCTGAAAAAGGCTTGGAGTCGATTTAGCATAAGTGGAAAGTGGGTTGCCACGCACTGGTACCTGGCAGCGAGGTGAAACGTCTCTTGAATAAAAATAATCCTCTGAAACTCCGCAGACACCGTTCAAACTTATGATACATCTAAATCTGTATTTAAAAGACAAGAATTCTCCTGAAAATTGAATCGCTACTAGTGATTTGTTTGAGTCTCGACCGTCGCCAGGTGGAACTATGAAAGAGAGACAGTCATTCTAATGGCCAACTGCAACGTTAATTGACAGTCAGACAGATTTCTAATGAAAGCTTGTCTGGTTTCCTCTCTTGCGCTCTCACTGCGATGGTTCTCATTTCAGTCAATAGCCGATAGCTCCACGATTTTAATAGATAAAGAGACGATTCGGTCATCGTCGGATTAACGAAACGAGAGAGTTCGAACTTCAATTCTAGCCAAATCGGTTCATCGTCAACAGAGTTGCAGACAATACAATCGTATAAAGAATTTTCAGCATCCCTGGGACTGTGATTATAATTAAAACGGTCGTCGTGATCGCGTGAAAATGTTTACCCAAGATTGATTACCGTTTGAGACGGTGCGAATAAATATGAATGCTCGAGGATGTCTCGTACCCAGCTAGATGCAATTTCACTTTCCCATCCGACTTTCACTTTCATTTTTAAGCATACTTTTCTTTCGTCTACCATACAGAGATATCCGACCCCGACGAATCATCCAGCGATCATTCCGACCGAAACTGAAAATCCACGAAACCAAATTCGGTATAGACTTAATTATTTCTCTGATCGCAATTAACGCGATTTAAACAGAACGATTTACGCTTGAACATAAATTCACTTTCCTTTTATTCGACGATCGCTTTTGTGTAAAACCGTTCGGCATTGCAAAAACAGGAAGTTTCAACCGTGTTTCCTTTCATTGCGTTCTAGAAAGTTGTCAAGCCGTTAGGCAAGCCTTTTACCGAGCCACTAAACGCGCCGTGGAGGAAACGATTCGTTTTCCCAGTAGAAACTCCTTGGAAACAATTTTTAATTATGATTTCAGGACACCAGCGAGACAAAGTCGGTCCAGCAGAACCTGGAATCGAAGAAAGATGAGCCAGAGGCTGAACCGAAAGATGCGAAAAACCAAAAAGAGGATGACAACAGTTCAAAATCGGATAGCGACAGTGGTGACGACGAGGACGACTACGACGACGATGAATTTCCTTCGGTGCACATAAAACTACCTCTACAGTTCGATTTTGACGACATTGCAGGCGTACGTTTACCTCTCAACAGAATGACGATTAAATACCATTGAATAATAATAGTACTTCTCTATTTCCGATCGTAGACACTGATCCAAGAAGCAAGGAGCCGAGTGTCTTGCGTGGTTGAGAGAAGGCGAGCCGACCAGGTGATGGACGGACCCTCCGGCGGCAACAACAACCTCGACAGCAATGGTAATAGTAACAACACGGATTCTCGTTACCAGAGATTGAGCGGTGAACGCGTGGCGATTCTATGCGAATCCGGGAATCCACGACAAGAGTACGCATTTAAGAATTCATTATTTATTCAGCAGAAAATTGAAGAAAATCATGGAAATACTCTCAGATGCAATCGCAGATTTGCATCATTAATCCCGGATGATAATAATCGATCTGTTATTCGGTGTCAGGCAACAGGAGGAGATGCTGACGCCTATCATAATTCCATTGGGCACGGTGCAGGTGCCGGTTCAGGGCCAGGAAGCGAACCCTGGATACCATCAGTATCAAGTTCCAGACATGCAGCAACTACCTTTAAGTGATCCTCGAGGTTTGAACCATATCCCAGCGGCCGTCTTGCCGCCCGAGCTGAGGAACGTGCCGCAGGTGGCTATGGAGATGAGGCCGCCACGAATGGGCCCGCAAATGGAAGCCCAGATGCCCGGCATGGGAGGACCGCAGGTTGGTCAATTCAATGAAACTCAAATTCGGATGATCGTAAATTGTATCGCGTTGGTTTTCAAGACCAATCGAATCCGACGTATCTTTCTAAAATCTTTGTTTCACCTTACGATAGATGGAAGTACGCCGAATTCCGATCGAACTGCGCCACTTCCCAGTGTACCCCGTAAGAGGAATGCGACCCCCAATGCCCCAGGAACAGGTCCCGATGATGTACCAACACGTGGAACAGACTGGGAACGGATACGGGCAAGAACAGGGTCCGATAATGATGCCACCGCCTGCTCCGCAGCCCGAAGCCCAGGTACATGATCTTTCAATAGCCTCCTTTCGATCTTATGAGATTCAATTTTAAAATTGATGCTCTTCTACGTAGCCATTTACGATTCTCGATAATCATCGTTCGTTTCCCAGGTGCACGAGCAGAGGATGGTGCCAGTTTTAATCGAGAATCAGGCGATGCCCGAGCAGAGGCAAGCCCAGCCTCAGGCACAGCCCGCTGAGAGGCCGCGCGGCCCCTTCCAAGGTATCCCGTTCGAGATAAGGAGAATCATCCAACAAGTGCCTTTGGAGATCAAAAACATAATTCAACATATCACCGGCGAGGCGAGACCCCTGGCAGTGCCCATGCAAGTACCGGACGGCGCCAGGCGCGAGGTAATTCCTTCGAGAGGTTTTTATTACGACGCTCTATGCAAATAACGCGATTTTTAAATACATTCGGTATCAGAGCGTGCAGGAGTTCAAGCCGTTCCCGGAAGGCGCCCAGCCTTTAGGACTTCCTCTGCCCGTGGAGGTGAGGAACTTGTTAGACGGTAGACAGAGGACTGATTCTTCCAGCGAACAGCAGGAGGACGATAGCGACGAGGAGAGGAACTTCCCCGTACCAGCCGAGATCCGGAACATAATTCACCAGGTAATTTATCAATCTTACCCCTTTCGCGTTTAATTGAATTCTCGATTGACTCTTCCATTAATCGTAGGTGGTCGAAGGGAACGCGTTCCCAGTGCCAAGATTCGCGCTACCACTGAGACCCGTGGATTCTCTCGAGATCCCAGTGGAGGCTCGCGCGGAAGTCTCCGACGGCCGAGCCTCCGAACCGGAGTCCCAGCAGCAGAGACAGCAACAGGAACAGGAGCAACAGGCGCAGGCTCGATTGATGATTCAACGACAGCAGATGCAACAGCAGTTGCAACAGCAGCAACAGCAGCAGGAAATGCAGAAGATGCAGGAGATGCAACAAATGCAGCAACAGCAGCAGCAGCAGCAGCAGCAGCAGCAGCAGCAGCAGCAACAGCCGCAACAGGCTCAGCAGGAACAGGAAGAGGGGACTCGTCCTCATTGTAAGCGAAACTCCGATACAGACAGTATATCGATAGTTGGAATTTTTTCAAGCAAATACGACGAGGCTCGGAAAAAATTTTGACATACTACATAGTGTGCCTCTAATTTGTTTCAACAATTTCTGCCCATTGAAAATTGAAATATGAAATCGTTATTTCTTTCAGTTGTCCAGCCACGGTCTGTGCGTTCGATCCCGGATGCCTTCACCCATCGCCGTGAGAAACGTGTTCGTCGCTGCGCCTGTGACTGCGCCTGTTAAACTAACCAACAGTCGAACCATCCGTCCATTAAGAGTAAATTTAACAAAAGAGATCCGACCAGAGATATCGAATCTAAAAATAATAATCACGAGTCACGAATATATATATATAGTATTATAACGCTTGCAAGTTCTTGATCATTTCGGCTGTTCCGAAAGGAGATTAATTGATTGAAGAGATCGTAGATGCATAGTCGAGTAGAGATTTACAGTAATATAAGTAACACCCCGATAGAGAGAGACGAAAGCAGATGAAAATAAGATAGAAATTGTGTAATTTCTAAGTGATACGATTTCCCTTTTGACGGTGATAACATTGACCATTTTCTTTTAACCAGTTAAGGCCAACCAGCTTACTATAGTAATTCATTAATTATCAGTTCTTCAGCAGTAAGAAACGAGAGATTCTTAATATTTAAATAAGCAGGGAACTTTTCAGTGGTTTCGCAATTTATTAAACTATGTTTAAAAATGAATAAAAATGATGTAACGCGTTCTATTCCTCTTTAATCATTATTCTCCAGCCCTTGGAGTCGATGTACGTGAAAAATTTACAGAATACTTCACTGAGTAAAATAACTGAATCGGATAACTCATAATGAGGACAGAGAGGTAAAATAAGATATCGTTTGAAAATGGCAGCTGTTTATTACAAAGGAGAGAAAACATAAAAACAGTAAAAAGCGATACCCTGTGCGTCGTCTCGTTGCACTTGATTAATAAACTGTTAAGTACCTGCTCCATATTTTCAATTTGATTGTGGTTCGACTTACAGTTTGTAAACTGAATAAGAAACGCCTCGCGACTTACAAGAGAAACGTCGAAAAAATTTTACGAACGTTACTACTCTGTAAATATAATTTTTCGTAAAAGTTCATCACATCAAACCTTGCACGTAGCATTTTATCAGGTTCGTTAAAATTTTCTCACAGAGATATACGGCTCGTACAATCTCAATCTACTTTAACGTAATTAACAACAAATCGAAGGGACAGTCGAGAACGGGACTAAGATTGTTAACAATCTAACGGTTAACTCGAATTAATATTAAATTATCACATTGGTAAGAATAAAAGCTCGAACGTTTCGCTATTACGTTTCTATATAACAAAATAATTTACCCGAGCGAGTAGTCACGCTCCGTCGAAATTTTCTATACACGATACAACGTCGTTCGTCTCGATTATCACGTACGCAGATCGTTTTATATCGAGAGTTCTCACAGTTAAATAAATACGATTCGTTATAAGCTATCGCTGACCAACGTGGGCCGCCGCTGTTTTAAGGCCTTCGACTGTTTGTACAAACGCTGTCTGCAGAATTGGTAAAACTCAATCTCCCTCGTGAAGTTGCTTCTCACCAAGTCCTTCACCTCCTCGCTTACCGACGGTTTGAACAGATTCCTGTTTATCCTCGTGAACGCGTTCGACTCGTCTGCGAATTCATTCGATCGTTATTCGTTTACACAATCCTTCGAGTGATCGATGAAGACGCATAACAATTTGTACTCGTCCATATAAACTTGACAAAGTTAAATAGCAATTACCATAGTAGACTTCAGTTGCTCCTCTGAAGAATTCCGGTATATAATTTTCCAACACCGTCAGCGTAGTATTAAGGTCTTCGAGAACCCCGACCACCGCGTAGTCCTTCTCCACTGCCATCTTAGCTCTCTCCAAAGCCCCCACAGTGTTGAAAGGTCTTGAAGAACCAAATACAACTCAGTCAATCGATGTGTTTCGGTCAACCGAAAGCAAGGTGGAATAGACTGATTTACTTTGACGTACGTGCATTTTTCGCTGTGGCCACAGAAGAAGAGGGTCTGTCTCCGATGATCCCCGATCCCTTCGTGAATTTCACCCTCGAGATACCTGCACTCGCGATCCCCCTTCAACACGCAAGATTCGAAGTCCTTCTTCAGCCAATTCGGATCCGGCAAGGGTAGATCCGGGAATATCTGCTTCCTCTCTACGTAGTACCAAGGTGCTCGTACGTAGTAATACCAGGAGATCACCCTCTCCACCGGATCGCGTACCACGTTTATGTAAATCGGCCGAGGCAAGTTGAATCTGCGAATTAACATTCGCATTTATCTCGTGTTCGTCATTGGTCGTTTATCGACCTCAATTTAATTCGATAATTTTAATCGAGCTTACTCGGAGAAATTTGTGAAGCAAACGTGTTTTATGTAGACCGAGGGCTCCGAGTAGCTGCTGACCATCCTGGCTAGTTGCAACTGAAATACCAGAGAAACTGTTCGTTAATAACTCCGAATAACCGTTCGTTCAATTAAGAAATATTTTTACGTTACCTGTTCTATAGGGGCCAGCCGTATGGTTTCGACCCTTTGAACCCTGTCTCTGTTAAACGAGAAACCGTTCCTCAATGACAGTCTTCTGAGGAGTTCCATGAACGTTTGCGAGCCGACCTTTGGAACTCGATTGAAAAACAACACCTTCCGATCGGCTCTTTTCGTGTTGTTCAACGCATCCACGTCCAACGCCTCCGCTTCTCCGTACTGGAATTTTCAAATAATGAAAACTCATGCTTCGCATGGTCGGAAGAGAGGAGGAGTCGGGAATGAATCGAGTTTATTCGAGGCATGTATATGGAACAGAATCGCCGCAGCCTGGATAGAATTTTACCGTTTCTCAGATGGAAATAACGGGTGGACCGGCAAACAAACAAGGTCAATGACTAGTTTAACGGAGTCACGCATTCATCGATTTCCTTTTATTCATGTTTTATATCATTGGGATTTAATTTCTCCAATTGTACAAAATACAAATTGATGAAAACATTCGGAGATGTAAAGAGGGTGATTAAAACTAATTACCTTGGCATTGGCCCGTGGCCTGGGTTGGAGATGCACCCCGATGGTACCTGATTCGGTTTGCACGGTCTCTGAAACATAAAATCGTCTTCAGACAAAGAGAAAGTGTGTCGAAAATATGAAAGAAAGTGAAAGGAGATGATCAGCAACAAACAAAGGCAGTTACAGTTGAATGATACACCGTAGAACTATGCAATTAGACTTAATTACTGATCACAATTTTATGGACGGTCGCGCTGACTCCTAATCCCTCTTTCTTTGGCTATCAATTAAAACAGAATTACCATTCTGGCTAATGTGCAATACTGATCGTACTTTCCACTCCTTTCTCACGGTGTACATAGACCGCAAAAAAGAAGAGTAAACGAGATTTTGAGAGGCGAGTAAAAGGTGAAAGGCGAAACAGATTCCTACGAGGAAATCTCGGTCGATCAACTTTGTTCCACGGTCAAACGCAATTGCCAGGAAGCAATTTGACGATCGAGTCGAATCGAAGTCAAACATTTTTCCTGACCTCCCATCAATCTTCGTCCTGTTAGTTATGACCTCTGGAAGTTAGTCAAACGTGAAATAATAGAAAGAGTTCAAACTGTGATTTCAGCCGCATACAAAACGAATCGTTTCATAATTAACGAACATATTAAGCGTTAGAGGCAGTAAAGGCAATTATGGCGGCGTTAGGGGCAAGGAGGCAAGTTCAATGCTCAGGTGGCTGACCTCGGGCATTGATCGGCTCCTCCTCGTTCGCCTCCGCCGCGCGGGTCTAATCGTGACGGGAAGCGCTCGTGACCGATACAGATATACAGGCGCGTTCTATCCCCTGCTTCCATCCAGTGGGATCGCAAAAATGAATTACGGAACGTGTCGGGAATTGCTGATCGAACGATATCTTAATCGGTGATAAGGAAATGAATGCGCGTTGCAGCGTCCGAGATGCTCTCTCGGTCGACCTACATGTTCGAAACGATTCGTCCCTCGCGAAAGTTGTTCGGCCAGCTCTCTCGAATTTCTTTTTTACCCCGTTATGTGTGTTACAGTCTGCGCTCGCACGCTCCTGATGCGTAAGAGAGAGAGAGAGAGAGAGAGAGAGGAATCTTCTTCCGTTCATTCGTCATCTCGAAGCAGACCGACGTTCTTCTCAATATTTATTCAAATTCTTACGAATCGCGAATAAGATCGTTGCGCGAAATGGAATTAATTAACCGATTTGTACGCAGACGTCGATCTGCGGTTGAAATGGTGAAAGGTCGTCTCGGAGCCTGGCAGATAGGTGGATGAAACGGCGACGGTTCCGCGAGCAATTAGAGTGAAAGATCTCGGCTTTCCCAAGTTCTGGGTCACCGGGTCTACGCTCCCCGCTACTCCTACGGAGTAAGGGTGAGCCGGCAGGAACCAGGTCGGCCAGCTGCATTCTTCCATATCACATTTTCGAGCCTCACGAATCGACGTAGATAAAATTCTCAGAGGCGATAACGAACGATAGAGAACGGAGGCTTAATTTTGCGAGATGAAATACGTGAAGCATTCCTTAAACGTCTTCTCTCAGGAACGAGCGTGTTCCATCGGTTGAGACGATTGATCTTAATTCTCACGATTAAATGATGCACGGCTCGTCGAGCAAGCGGAATCGGAACGGCGACGGCGGTGGCGGTAATTCGGGTAATTAGCTCGTTGCAAACGAGGCGAGGGTGAGCCGATACCGTTAACCAACGTTCGTACAATCACGTTTTACATCGCAGGCTCGTTTTTAATTAAAGACACCTCGCGGAAACGAGATTCCCCTTGGTTCACACCTTGACCCTGTTCAACCAGGAACCGAGCTACCTTTTTGATAGAGAATACTTTCTGCGAAGGGAACATCCTCTGAACCGACGCTTTTTTCCTTATTAATTAATCAATTAATTAATTGATTGATAGTCTTTCCGCGCGCTTAGAGGTTTGATTTAAATTAGGTTTTCGAATGAACTATTTCTCTCTCACCGGAAGATAGTTGTTGATCCCCGGTGAAGATCTCATCGGGTTGCAGGCGTACTTCCATCTTCCTCAATCTCGAATGCAATTCCCGAGTGTGGATAAAGAGGAACAGCGTGCTGGATATCGCAACCAGTGCTACAAGCTCTATAGTCCTGTAACAAAACCCGATTCATGCATCGTATAAACAACGAAACGTGATAATAATTAAAAACCGACGTCTCTGTTTGAAACGGACGTAATTGAACGATTGCGCGTGTGAGTATCGCGTTGTGCGCGTGTGTATGTGGTGCATTTGAGAAGTTGTAAGTCACGAGTGGACTGTCATCTGGGTTGCCGTCGTCGACAGGAGAAACAGGCCAGCCGGCGGAGAGTCATCTCCCGTAATTGATCATCACGAGAGATGATTCCCGGTATGATTGACCCGCTTTCGATCATTCGACTTTCTTGTCAAGAATATCAAGACTACGAGCATCGTTTCATTGTGAAACGAGATAAAATCGAAGTAGATTCGAAAGGAAAGGATTCGTCATTGAATCTGGCGATCGAACGGGTTCAACGGATTAGATTCTGCACGTGGTCGAATGGTATCCCCCTTTACGATGGACGCCGGAGTCGTTGACACCGCGGGACCCGGCCGCCTCTCGCACGCGATACCGTTCGTTTTCTTTTCTCTCTGGACACGAGCCTATCCGGTAACTAATTGTAAACGGGAAACACCGTCGTTGTCTGCTCTTCCCCGGAAAAACGGCTACTATTACATTTGTTTGCACTCACGATTCAGAAAAGAAAGTTGTGTACATTTCAAATGCGTCTTTGAATATCGAGGAACCAGTCAGCGTCCCGAAGGCAAGTTTGACGAGTGTAAAACCTAGAGCTTCGCCGGTACCGCGCGTTATGCACGGTCAAATAAGTATGCGAGATTCAACTGAAATTTAATTTTCACCCCGAAGAATCGATTTATCGATATTTCGAAGAGAAACCGAATTAAAGCAGAGGGTTCGATCTCTGAGCTTCGAATAAATTGGTTCGTTGTTAACGATGGAAGTTGCATTTTGTTATTATTCATTAAAGCAAATTTAATTAATCCGTTTCCTGAAAAATGTTGTTAAAATTTCAGTTGAGAATCAACGGTAGAAACGTTGCGTTCTATTAACGATGTTCGATTTACCTTTTAGGAACCGGGACTCTCCTATGTTTCCAAGCGTTCTCGTTCATCTTCAACTATTTTCCCCGATTGATCGGATCGAAGAGGATGAGGAGGAGGAGAAGGAAGAGAAGCTGCTCATCGGCTAGCTGATTGGAACCGGATCGATCTATCGATCAGAACCCTCTTCCTGTTCGTTCAAATCATTTACCAAACGTCCACTGGATTCACACAAAATATTACGATCTCATTTTTTACTGATTAATTTATTTCCATTGGTCCACAGTTTTAATTTAAATCTATTTGCCGACGGTCTTCATCGTTCGATCGTGTCGTCTCTTTACACAGTGTTTATAAGTGAATTTAATTGATTTATCGACGATGAGCGATCGCGTTCGATCCGACGAATTTCGATCGGCTGAGGACGGAAGATGCTCGGTTTGTCCGTTCAGCGCGCGACTGACCGAACTGACCAAAATTTCACGCTCCTACCCTACCTACCCGCTCTTCTCCCGGTTACTCCGCTATCCCTTCCAGTCGCTACAAGCCTTGGTATTGAACGCGCAAGCGTTCCGGATGCACCGCTCCTCTTCCTCTGACCTTCGATCTGATTCCCAATGAATTCGAGCAAAATCTCAGTTTGCGGAGTTCGGCTACTTTTATTTAAATCAATTGAATCTTTTCATCAATCTTCGTCCACTGGAAATTCGAATTCCGAGGATTGTCCCTTCGGATCCGAGGAGAATTTATGAATTTTGGCAATATTTTCTGTTACCTTTGTAATCGAATAAGATTTCCGATTTTTATTCGCTACCAATCGATTTAGGTAAAATTGTTAATGTAAATCAATGAATGGTTCCATCTGGGATATGTTAATCCAAATTTTAATGGTTTCTTCGGAATATTACGTGTTTGACTGCAACAAGACACTAGGAATGAAATTTCGGACGCTACCGAACTCCACGACTTGATTTACACAAGTGTAATTCAAGTCACCGGGAGTCCAGTTATGCTGGGACAGAAATACTTTTCGCAATCGAGTATTCGTATTACGCTACTACATGTTACAAGTGTTAAAACAATTCGAGAACCTCCCGTTAATTATTTCAGGGTGTTTCAATCGATAGAAAATTCTGTTGATATCAATTCGATTAAAACTCCCTCTCCCTCCCTGGTTTCATATTTCATTGAATCGTAATTGGACACCCGAGTACATGATTGAAGAATGCGGAAACGATTGGGAAATTTATCATGTCCAAAAAACTGCTCGACTCGCACTTATTTCTTCAGAATTTCGAGACGATGGATAATAGGAGGGAACGATTATTGTTCTCTTTTAATAGTTAGAAAATTTCTCTTACAATTTAATCGGTAATTTTGGCTAAAGTATCCGCGTACTGAAACTCAGAACTGTTCTCGTACTCGCACATATCCAACGCGATTATACAGCTCTCCCGGACGACTCTTTCTTCGTCGTTCAAGTATTCGTTTAAAATACGGAAACAGCCCGGAGTAGCGATCGAGCCCAGAGCCTCTGCGCATTCGTGTCGCACCATTTCGTTCTCTCGCGTGTCTCTTAATGAGGCTTCCAAGTGAGGGACGGCTACCTCTTCTTGAAGCTGTCCCAGGACGAAAGCTATTTCATGTTTGAACAACGCGCTGCCCGCTTTCAAACCTTCAACAAATCAAGGTTCAATTCGAGCCGAAAATAAAGTAAATCGGACCGTCACTAACAAAGTTACGAATGATCCGAGTTCAATAACGATCTTTTTGGTAGGCAAATTGATTCACCTTGGCACAGAGCTAGGATGCTCTCCCTCGTCCTGAGATTCCTCAAAGTGAACATGGCTCGATACCTATCGAACAATGAGCCATTCTCGTCTAAAAGAATGCATCTGAGCGCTTCTACGTCGGTGGAATCCAGTGGTGGCGCCGGATCCACTGACATGTAAGGACTCTTCTCAAAGTTTTCCGGAGTGTCGTTCAATCTCAACCACTCTATCCTCGACAGTGCCAATTGACACGTCTCAGCCACTTCTGCCACTGGATCCTTACTATATTCCCGCAAAACTGGAAGTACTTTCGGTTCCCCGATCGCTCCCAAAGCCTCACCTGTTGTTTCATACAACAAAATTAAAGATTTCACCTAAGAAGTATTTTATTCAACGTTTTATATATGAACGTTTATATTACCAGCCTCGTGGCGGACCATTGGCTCCTGTGCAGCATTCTTCAGCACATTCACAAGTACTGGTATTGCGCCTGGGTCACGCATTTGGCCCAAACAGTAGGCCAGTTCATGTTTCAACAGTGCCGACTCATCATTGAAGCAGTTGCGAATCTGTTCAATGGCTCCAGACCCGCCGATGTTCCTTAATGTAAACAATGCACGGAACCTTTCTTTCAAGGGGCGATTTCGGTCATTGAGAACCCTGCCGATCGCCTGAATCTGGCCACCATTCGCCTCCATTGTTTTAGTACTTCGGATAGAAATAATCGTTTCACGTCCGCTTCAGGGAATCCCGATTTTTGTTTCAATTATCACTAACGAGCTTCGTGATTCTCGGCGATCGAACGGCTTCGAACGACACGAAGTCTGCCAGCCTCTAGGTTAGATCAATGGATGCAGATCTCATTTCGCATAACAGACTTGCTGGCTGGTTGATCGAACGGGGAAAATTATATGCGAAGGAAACGACATTTATTAGATACGATCACTTTTTACTTATATGGATTTCGTTTGAACTCGGTGTGTAAATGTTTCCGGTTACTCTCTCTCTCTCTCTATGTCTCTGCACCCAGTGTCACCTGGTGGCTGGTGGCAGTGACAGCGAGGGCGAGAGGAGGTTTGGCAACAGGAGTCCTGCTGTAGTGTAGGACTCCTATGAAGGTGAAGAAACGCTCTTCTAGAAAGCCTGTTCATCTAGAAGAGCGTCAGAAGCGCATTGCGAAGCAAAAGCAGAGTAGAAGAATATGAAAATCTTTATTCAAAATACTTACTTTTCACTCTAGCGAAAAATGTTTCAGTCGAAGTTGTAAATCTCATCGAGGTTTACGGAAAAAGTCCTGTGCATTTTTTTCGTATCTCCAGTCAACGATTGATTAAGAAAAAACAAGAGAATTGTGTAAATCGACGGTGCTTCCACTTGATCGAAAAATCGCGGTAACTAAAACGTGACTATCATGCATGCGTGCGCAAACCCTTCGTGCATTTACTTACGATGCGCCCATGCGCGGCGCGATCATTTGGCATTTCTACAGCGTACTGGCACGCACTGGTTGCGTTCTCTGTATCGCGTCATACCCAACAATCTTACGGCGATATTTGAAAAGCTCTTTTATTGAAACCCATTTTTTGTAAAAATCAGTAGAAACATGCTCCATACCTTGAGGCAACCGATCAAATATGTATGTTTATTGTCCTATTCCTCGGCGGACGGCGCTGCGATTGAAATTCCTCGAATCTTATAACACTGCGCTCGTACCAGAGAAAACCGAGAAAACTGACGATTAAGAGTCGACAGCTTTTATTGCCAAGCTTAAATACGCTTTATCATTGCGAGCGGGCATTAGTTTTCGATCAGAGAATCATGTTCGATCAGTTAAATCGATGCGATGAAAGTAATTGAGACAGGAAGTATACCCGCCCTTTTCCGCCATATTCCGTTCTGGACGTGGACGTTTCCGGTTCCCGGAGTTGATTTTCACGAAGGGGCTACCTACGCGGGGTTAGAAAGTTGCCGATTAATCGCCGAGACTGATTGATTACAAACCGTCTCACTCGTTTCTCGCTCTGACAAGTGTGAGTACGTACACGGCTTCAAGCTTTTGCCATATAAGAAAGTTCTTGGCAGTTCGGTTCGCTGGAAAACTGGCTACGGTCCCTTCCAGTTCCCGTCATTATCACAAATGAAAAACAGATAAACGAACGGAAAAACTAAGAGAACTACAATACGAATGGTTAAATCTTGTAATTTTTTTCTGTTACAAAGCAAATTCTACATTCATGTGTCTGGCGTTTGTGTTACCGTGCGCATGTGTACTTGGATGTGTATGTGTGTGTGTGTGTGACTGGTCAAATTTGGAGGTTGGATGGGATCAAGATTTAAACAAACGATTCGTAGATCGTTGTACTTATTCTCGTAAGAGAGAGTTAACGAGGTTAAGAAGGCGTGAACTTATTCATTTCAGGCGAGAATCATGTCTGAGGCAAACACGGACCGCGTTGACTCCGTTGAAGAAGAGTTAGAAGTCGAATCCAACTATAAACCACCTCCGGAGAAAACCATAGAGCAGATACTGGAGACAGACAAGGAAGATGAGAGTCTGCAGAAGTACAAGGCGACGCTACTGGGTGAGGCGAAGTCTGGTGGCATCGTTGTAGGTAGGCGTTTGTACCTCTATCAAAAGTCAGCAGTTTCATGTTATGATACTCAGTATATTACCTAATTTTTAGATCCAAATGATCCTAGGAAGGTGATAGTGAAGAAATTGGCCTTGTGCGTGACTGACAGGCCAGACATGGAGCTGGACCTAACTGGGGACCTTACACAATTGAAGAAGCAAACGTTTGTGATCAAAGAAGGTGTCAGCTACAAGATTCGAATTGATTTCATAGTTCAAAGGGAAATCGTTCATGGTTTGAAGTACATACAGAAGACCTATCGTCTAGGTGTCCCAGGTAATCCCTTACTCTCTGCCTTGACAATACCTTGATGATAATATAAGATTATTTGTTGTATGCTACCTTCTTTAGGAATTACAGGTACATACATTGTACACAGTGAACCTTGCAAATATCCGCCCTCTCCCTCTCTCTAATTTTGATTCGCTATTATTTGCCAAGGCACGAGACGTAGCTCACTTCTAGACTCATTACAAATATACGTTTTGTTCAATCGCAGTGGACAAAATGATGCACATGGTCGGCTCGTACCCTCCGAAAACCGAGATCCAATCATATACGACGCCGACAGAGGATGCCCCGGCCGGCGTAATGGCCCGCGGCTCGTACACGGTCAGTTCGCTCTTCACCGATGATGACAAACACGAACACTTAAAGTGGGAATGGTCGTTCGAGATAAAGAAAGACTGGAAAGAGTAAATAGAGAATAGGATACTGTCGAGCCAAGGAAAGAACAGGACTCCTGTAATTTTTTACATGAAACACGCGCCAGTGCGCGCAAACAGACAGACAGACAGACAGACAAGGACTTGCGTAAGATGATGCCATAACATATATAAACTGTATTTTCTAAGTAACAAGATATACAATTAATTTATTTAGATAATCCTTAATTAAGAATGGTAGGTAACGGTAACCTTCTCACTCTATGTATGCATATATTATATATACATTTATATATATATATACATATATGTACAGGCACAGGACGCACATATGTATGTGTATGTAATTGAGAATCGTAATTAGGATTTCGATTTAATTAGTACAGCATTTACAGTCGTACTTGTAATAATAGTTTTACTCGAAATTGTCTCTTCGAACTTCCTGCCTGATTTCTAAACTCCAACCGTTGTTCGAGTCTGTCTTTTATTAGACCTGTTTCAGGGTAGTCCCTACCAAAACGCGAGTTCCAAAACTTTTGGGGCAGCTTATATTTTTTTATCTTTTATACATGTACCTCCCATAGTTAGCGACGATACCTAGTCGACGCAGAAAGTGCAAGGATTTGTAGGCAGGCTACGATCCAACCCACCCATTTTCGATATAGTCTAGAATACATAAAACCATAGTTTCGAGGCGAGACAGAAGGCAGCAGGTTAAGCGACAATATGTGTTCTCGTATTGCGATAACGTCGACGAAGGAACCGACGGACATTTGAAAGAATCCCTTGAACATTGTATCTGATTATTAATTGGAAATAAAGATGACGTTATTAACTTTGTTATATATGCGAATCGAATAAGAAAAATGTAGATTCGTCCGTGACGACGGCGCGGATTCGAATCCGCCATGCTGGGCATTGCGTGTAGAGTGCACTGTGCAGCGTAAGCGTACGGTAGGAGTCTGTATGTAGTAGTGCGCAGCGCGCCACCCGCATAGAACGCATTCGTATTCGTTTACGAACAGTGTTATAATTTTAGGAAGAATATAGGAATACAAGGGACGCGAACTTCAATTAGAGTGAATTTCGGTGAACCACGCGGGATAAGGGCGGCAGTTAAAGGTTCGAGAAGCGAGAAGCGGTCGCGTCGGAAGTATAGACGGTCGGCCAGGTAAAGGGGGCCACGTATCGAGGTCACCGGTGATTAGAAGACGAGAGACCCCCAGCCGGAGTCCTCGTCATTTCCTAACGATTAACGACTGTTAACTCTAGTCGTCCTGCCGCGATTTCGATCAGCGTAGATCGCTCTGGTCGAAAACGGAACTGTTTCTTCGAAGGATCCCCCTCGATCTCCGTTGAATCACCGTTGAGTGTCTCGTAGTTTCAATCCCTCTCTCTCGCTCTCTTCGTCTTTCCTGGACTCCATCCACTCTTTCGGGCAGCAGTTCTTTCGGTGAAACAAGTGAAGTCTGTACCAGGATGCAGGCCATAAAATGCGTCGTCGTTGGTGACGGGTGAGTGTCGAACGTATAATTCATTCTCGTTTCATCATTTAGTCGTCTATTTACCTTAGCAAAGGGTTTTGAACCCCACACCACACCCTTGCCCCCTGTATTGTTTTTTATAAAATCTACGAATCCTCTTATTTATTTTCAGTTTATATCGTAGATCATCCATTCGTCCGAGCGGTTTTCTTTTAGCAATTTTAATAGATCAGATTCGAGTTTTGCTTATGATTGAACAGACATAACCTAGCCCTTCCAACATTTTTGTCCCTCGAGATAGTTTTACAAACCTGCCCGCTCTAAGCGACGAGCGGTGATCTGTTAACGCACAGCGTTTGATTTCTCTTTGAATTTTAACAGAGCCGTGGGTAAGACATGTTTGTTGATAAGCTACACGACAAACGCTTTCCCCGGCGAATACATACCAACCGTGTTCGACAACTATTCCGCCAATGTGATGGTTGACGGGAAGCCGATAAACCTGGGATTATGGGACACGGCGGGCCAAGAAGATTACGATAGGCTGCGTCCGCTCTCTTATCCACAAACAGACGTCTTCTTGATCTGTTTCTCCTTGGTGAATCCAGCCAGCTTCGAGAATGTGCGTGCCAAGTGGTATCCAGAGGTGCGTCATCACTGTCCGGCTACTCCTATCATCCTTGTAGGCACCAAGCTAGATCTGCGTGAGGATAAAGAGACCATCGAACGGCTTAAGGATAAGAAACTTGCACCCATCACTTATCCACAGGCAAGTATCGACGCTGCGTCGAACGATATCCAGTGCTTACGTCATGCATAATCTAACGTTCTCCCTCGCCAGGGTCTGTCCATGGCGAAAGAGATTGGAGCAGTGAAGTACCTGGAGTGCTCGGCGCTTACTCAGAAGGGTTTGAAAACCGTCTTCGACGAAGCCATCCGAGCGGTACTCTGCCCCGTCCTCCAGGTGAAGCCAAAACGCAGATGCTTCCTTCTATAATATTAAATTCATCCAGTCGCTCGGAGATCGAGAGAGAGAGAGAGGGTGAGGAAGGAAGGAAGAGAAATTGGCGCCTGGTCTCGCCTCCTCCGTCGTATCTGCCACAACAAGCGCACAAATCTTGTCTTACAACAACCAACGGGGCGGAGGAGAAGGAGTAAAAAGGCGGACAGAGCTGTGTGTGGTGTACAAAAGAGAAAGAAGTCGTTTTCCTGCCGTATTCACAGTTTCTACAATCACGGAACTTAACGCTTCAGCTTGATTTCGTTGTAATTTCGTTAACCGGAGGAAGCCTCTTGAACCAATCTGCTTCTTCTTCACTTTTAACCGTACACGTAATAATAATCGTTGTAAAGTAAGTTTTAGATGAAAGAGAGAGAGAGAGAGAATGGGGAAACGCACAAAGGAGCGAGTGTGTGCGCGCGCGCGTGCGAGTATAAACAATTGTACATAAACGATAAAAGAAAGAAAAAAATTGTAATTGTATTCCTATCTAATATAGATATAATCGTGCAAGCCTGGATCTAAAAAAAAGATGAGTAAGGACGTTGATTGTTTTTTATATATATATAATTATAAATATATATTAAAGGGTGGAGCTCTCCCCTGAATATTAAGAGATAATTAATTACAATTAATAATAGAGATACCTGTAACTAAATATTGCTTTATTAAATGGGTGTTTATTAAATTCCTTAGATTCCTTATTCGAACGAACGATACGAGGGAGCCTACCAATTTCTTATTTCTACTGACATTCGTTTCAAGCCGTGGTGTCGAAGAACGTTTCTATCAAAGCTGATATCTGTTCGGGAGCGTATTTTATGTACTTGTTGGGGTTCTTCGAGAAAGAGGTGCCACGATATTTGTTGTAGAAGCTCGTGTAGAGGGGCACGATGGATCGTTGGAGTTCCCGTCGCAGTTCTTCGCGTAGACGCGAGTCCGGGACAGAGTACGAACGCTGCCATTTGGCAATTTCCTCGAATTCCCTGGTGAACCCTAAGAACTTCTCCTTGAGCATCTTCGGGACTGGATCTACGAGACACGAAAAATGGATTCTTATTGGAGCAGTTACGGATCGGAAATCATCGGAGGAACACATACCCGGCTCGTCGAACGGTTGTTCCAAATAGACTCTGGCTTTGGCGAACGCAGCGTTCACGTAATTGTTCTTATCTTTCTGTAAAAGGTCCCGGTATGTCTGCTCAGCCGTGGGTTCGGCTGACAAGAGTAACTCCATCAATGAACTGCGACGCAGGGCGTTCACCACGTGATTATGGTTGTTCAACCTGAAGAGAGCCCGCAGCGAGACATCCGAGTAGGAAGCGTCGCTCTTGCTGACCAGCAATAAGTTTAACTGCGCCAGTACCTTCTCTGAAAAGAAATGAACCAACTGTTTTCTATGATGGTCGACTCGGAACGTCCTGCTTCGCCGATTAAAAATGATATTGACTGATGTAAGTGCCGACGACAATCTTGCAAGCGTTCTCCGTTTGTTTCACAGGCGCCGCCGCCGCTGTACCCTCCATATCGGCGCTGCTACGCTTCAACACGGAGCCCGCGGTGTCCGCGTACTCGGCCAACTGCTCCAAGAATACTAGAACGTTGCTGGTGCTCTCCGCCACGGTTCCATCCTTCGGTAATATCGAATTTGACTCGTTGCGCACGCTCTCGGCAAAATCCTCCAGCGCCTTGGCTCCCTTCAAACGGGCTCCGTAAGCATTTCGCCTCTCTCCTCATAATTTCTATTAACGATCTTACGGTGATATTCAGAGTGTTGAGCACCGAGGTGAACTTCGATCTGAGCGCGTAGTCGCATCCTTCGACGGTCCTCTCCAGATCCGGCTTCAATTCCCCGAGATGCTTCAATATTGGGAAGATGACAAGCACTGCCGAGTAATCTCTCCGTACGATGCACCTCTTGGCTCTTGTAGCGATGCTCTCGCCGTCGTGGGCCACCAGATCCATTGCTTCCCTGACTGTTGCCTCGAGAACTTGAGCCTGGAGACCGTTCGGTAGGATCTTAGCCACCAAGGACCTCTCAGTCTGCATTAGCTTGTGCAGGCCGACCGTCAGCAACAGATAATTCTCCATCTCCTGCTCGTCAGGTGCCGTATCTTCCACGGAATAGCTGGAGAGTTGATGGGGCGTCGGTTTTCTGGATCCGGTCAACGAGAGACCGAGCCCCGTGGTTTGAGAAGCTTTCAACAGCATCCGACTGGCCTTCTTTTCCAACGCATGCTGCAGTCTTTTTGAGGCCTTCTTGCCGGACATCTCTAGGCCCGTTGCCAAACCCAGAGAATGTCTGTGTCCGAGCTTCGTCTTCTGTCGATAAACGCATAGTTTCGTACAATAAATATTTAGGTACCAGTTATTTGTATACTTACGGGCAAGGGGCTCCCGGCGTGTGTGCTTCCGCCGCTGGCGCTCCTCTGGTGTTCCTTGAGCAGCTGCAGAGACCTCAGGACGATGCCGGACCTGACCGAGGAATAGATCTTGGCGTGATTCCTGTGCCCCCTTTCATCCAACCAAGCGGCGATCCTCGACAAGCTTCCAAGCATGCTCTCGGGTAACTGGCAAAGAGACTGGGGTGCGTCCTCGCCACTGGTATCCTCGTCGGAGCCGATCAGATCCAGCAGAACGATTGGAAGTATCGGTTTGCTCTGTCTGGTGAGCACGTCGTGAAATTCCACGTAAAGAGCATCAAGACCTACTGAGAACAGGCTAGCGACATTCTCCAACTCCACCGAGCTTGGATTATTCTTCTGGAAATAGCGTTGAGCGTTGTGAAGTCGATTCATGGCTTCTAGAAAGTTGTCCAGGCCTCCCGCACCTCCGGGCCCAGCCCTGACGGTCGCTTCGACCTCCTGGCAGACTCCATAATAACCGATCGCGTGGTCCAACGCGTTTAGAGTCATCTCGATGTCTGTGCAAATGAAACATACCGCATGGAAGCTTTATCTTAGGCCAGTTATGTACGCTGGCATTCTTACTTTGCTGCCGAGCCTGCAGGTTCCCCGTTTCATTATACACCGGCAGTATCGTTCGACGTAGAGTGGCCAGGCGTTGCTCCAATGACGAAAGAATCCCGACTACGTTCCCGGTGAGCCTCCTGCTGCGCTCCTCAGCTTCCTTCAACGTCTCTAACGAAGCTATCTCCGCCTCGAGCTTGCATTGAATCTCGAACCTCCTCTCAGAGGTTTGGTCGGCCCTTGGCACTTGCATCATTTTCTTCACGGTTTAACAATCTGAATTCACTATCAAATTTGTTCTCATTAAACGTGACGATTAATCGTCGTCGACGCAATGAAGCGAATCGTTCGCAAATCTTCTTAAAAAACTAATTACAGTTCCGCACTGTGACATCACACCGCTGTCACTGTCAAACAGAAGCGACACTGAAAAGCGCGTGGCATCGAAATATCTGATCCAGCAGAATATGTCGAACGCGGAGTGATTTACTTCCTATTAAATTCCGCCCGTTAATCATTAATATCGATTAAAAATAGAGATCGTTGACGAATTAACATCCTTCACGACTTGTGACAAGAAGCACAGACCAACCTTGAACTGGGTACGCAACACCCGACAGACGATTGCGCGGGCGCGATCAACGTGACCGTTGCGTATCTGACTTGAGGCTGGCTATCCATCATGTTGGCCGCGCCTGCGTGTTCGCGCGACAGTATCGAGAAGCCAAACGAAGGGGTGTCGTCGTTTGTGTTTGCTGCTGTGTTCCATAAAAAATAAACGTGAAAAACTGATTCGGAAGGTATCGTAGAATGCGGGCGGAGTCTTTGGACGTATCCGGGAATCCATAAGCAACGGGAAATGCGCGACAACGGAATTTGAAACGTGTATCTCAATATAATCGACGAGTGCGGGTCCGGAAGTGTTTCGCGGCCGCCATTTTGTGCTGTGTGCTGTGTGAGAAGCGTATGAACCCGCGCTGAAACTGAGCCCTTGTCCCTTCCTTTCTGTTGCCGGTTTATTTCTATCCGCAAAACATTCATTTGCTCGATTACGAGGGATTGAAAATCAGCGTTGATGATCGGGATTCCGAGGGACGATAGACACAAGATCACCGTGAAGATACGCAACAACATGAAGAGGAGCTCGAGCCGCGACACACCGCCTCCTAGGGTGAAACGCAGCAGATCCTCGATGGGGAGGTAGCATCCGAGAATAATTTATTATTATTAATTTACTACACAACGGAATGTTCCGTTCCATTCCATCATGGTTTCACAGTGTTGTCATCCTTAATGCACATTTTGTTTTCTAAGATACGACGACTCTAGTGACGAGAGAATCACTCCCGAGCGTATACGTCGACGCAGCCGGGGCGCCCGCAGTCCTAGCCCACCAACTCGAGCCTCGTCACATACCCGCTACGTCGAGTCTGGCTCTCATCGCGATGATTACCTCCGAGCGCCCAGAGAGCTGCCCCCGGAGCGTCCTTACAGCTACAAGGTCCTCTGTATCAGCTCTATCCACCCAAAGGCCAGTGATGAAGTGATCAAAGATACCCTCTACCGAGAATACAAGAAATTTGGTGACTTCTCCATTAAAATCTCCCATGAGCTCGACGAGAGGGTCGCTTATGTCTGCTTTAGGAGCTCCGAGGATGCTAGAGATGCGAAACACGCGAAACCTAGGATTATCATGTACGACAAAGTGGCTCTCGTCGAGCCTGTTTACGAAAGACCTGATTACAGGTATGAACCGAATTGTTTGTATATATGTCACTCCCTCTTTTTGCTTGCGGTAGAAAAGAATTGAAAATAATTGCAGGAGACCCCGGAGCATAACTCCGCCAGTTTATGAGCGTTACTACACGAGGAGTCCTGGCCCTACTGGCGACAGGCACCGTCCCCTGGAACGTTACGAGCGCGTTTACGGTCCTCCGGTGGGTTTACCACCCCCTCATCGAGAGATGCGTCGGGAAGCAATCCCACCTCCTCACCATGAGTTTGTGAGACCGCCGATTCACCACGGACCGCCCCATGTGCACCCCGGCCCTCCACATCACTATGGGCCGCCAACCAGACACATGATGATCCGACATCCGGTTCATGGATTCGAACGGGTCGAGAACAAGAAGGACAAATTCCCGAATTACCTGCACCACGTGTCGCCTGAAGACGATCCTCTGGCCACTAGGACTTTGTTTGCTGGCAATTTGGAGATAAACATCACCGAGGAAGAGTTGAGGAGAATATTCAGCAAGTACGGAATCGTCGACGATATCGACATAAAGAGACCGCCACCAGGTACGGGCAACGCTTATGCGTTCGTCAGGTTCCAGACCTTGGACATGGCGCACAGGTGTAAGGTCAGTCTCGTCTTCCTTGTTCTCGTCCCCGCCGTTTCTTGACACGGTTCATGACGCAATTCTTTTAACTCTTCGAAGGTCGAGCTATCCGGGCAGTACATCGGCAAGTTTCAATGTAAAATCGGCTATGGGAAGGCGACGCCGACGACGCGAATTTGGGTGGGTGGTCTGGGTCCGTGGACGTCGGTGCCACAGCTGGAGAGGGAGTTCGACAGGTTCGGTGCGATCAAGAAAATCGACTACATAAAGGGAGACAGCAACGCTTACATCCTGTACGATTCGATCGACGCGGCGCAGGCCGCGGTGAAAGAGATGCGTGGATTCCCACTAGGCGGCCCGGATAGGCGTCTACGGGTTGACTTCGCAGACGTGACGCCCGGGTTCGGGTTCAAACCAAGAGGCCCTTACCCCGAGGACACTGGAGAGTTCCGTCCCAGCAGGCCGGTCGACTACGAGCCGGCTTACGATCCGTACCCCGACAGCGAGTTCGGATACGGTCCGAGAGGTTTTAGAGGTAGAGGCTCGGCTCCCTGGCACGAGAGACGCGGCGGTGGTGCTCGCGGCGGCTACAGAGGAAGCTATCCCGACAGTTACTTGAGAGATCAGGAGGCCGACTGGAGCTCTTCGAGAAGACCACCGCCGGAATTGGAGTATGAGACCGGGAGAAATCTGAGGCGGTCGTTGAGCAGGGAGCCCGGGGTTGATCGTTCCCGATCCAGGTAAGCAGAACAGAAAGCAGCAACGACCGTCGATAGCTTTTAAATCCCGTCGTTTGGCGAGGTTCGCGAGCATTTCAGGCGATGCGATTTAACAGCGATGTGATGTGTCCAGGTCCCCTCGGAGAAGGCAGCAGCAGCAGCAACAACAACAACAGCAACAGCAGCTCGACTCGGATTCGGACTCGGAAAATGCCCGCACGGGGATGTTGTCGAGCTCCCGCACGTTGCCCGAAGTCGCCAGGAAAGCTCAGGCCGTGTGGCAAGGCGCGTTGATACTAAAGAATTCTCTGTTTCCAGCGAAGTTTCACCTAACTGACGGCGACGCGGAGATAATCGACTCTCTGATGAAGGACGAGGATGGCAAGCACATGCTAAGGATCACGCAGAGGCTGAGACTCGACCAGCCAAAGCTGGACGACGTCTCGAAACGTATACAGACGTCCAGCTCGCACGCGATTTTCCTAGGGCTAGCCGGTTCGAGCAACGTGATCAGCACCGACGATGCGAACGTCCAGACGAGACCGTTAAGGAACCTGGTTTCGTACCTGAAACAGAAGGAGGCGGCCGGTGTGATCTCGTTGGTGAACAAGGACACTGAGGGCACCGGGGTGCTATACGCTTTCCCGCCGTGCCCGTTCTCCACGGAATTGTTAAAGCGCACTTGCCCGAGCCTCAGCGACGAGGGATTAAAGGAGGATCACTTGGTAATTGTCGTCGTCAAAGGCGGCAGCGCTTAAATCTTTATCTTTCGCAACTGCGGATATGTCGTAGGACGGTCGCTCACGGTTAGCACGCGATGACCGGGCACAGGTATGTAGACAGAGAGCAAGCTCGACGACATTCTTACGAACGAGAAACATGGCATCGTATAAAATATCCGCAGTTCGATTAAAGATCAGTTATATACTTATACATACTATATAAGATAAGATAAGCGTCCCAAGTATCGGCCGGAGCGTTCGATGCAACGTTATCAATTATTTCTGTACATCAATCGTAATCCTTTTGTTTAAAAAAAAGAATATTCATCGTTCGTATGGAACGCTCTACCGGTCGTCTGTATTTGGGTACGGAACTCAGCCGAAAATTTCCACAGGCAACGATTCGAGCTAAGATTAAACTTAATTAAGATCAATTATATAAATATATATATAGATATATATAATGATTATGCTAAAGTACTTGTATCATATAATCGCACTCATCTTCTCGCTTGCTTGCTTTCTTCCTTTCTTCATTTATTTCTCTCTTTATATTTGATCATTTTTTATTGAAACACGTTTGTATAATCATTAGCCGGCCCTCGTCGTCGTCATCGTCGTCGTCGTTACGTAGATCGTCCAAACTATGTATAACGATGTCATTATGATTACATATGTGCGATACGTACGATACTTATATACATATATATATATATCTACGTAAATAGTTGAATAGTTTGTAATAAGTGAAGAAGATAGTAGTTTCGTGCGGACAAAAGAAGTGAATTAACGACTTTTCCGAGAGTGACTCGCCGTGTGCTCCAGTGATAGGAACGAGAATTGGGACAGTGAGGTGAAAAACAAACGCGGGGAGAGAGAGTAATAATTACAATCGTGTACAGTGTGACGAGAAGTAAAATGTAATCGCATACGCAATACAGTGTTTTCCTCGTGCTTTCTTGACGCTCTTTTCAAAAAAAAAAAATATCCTCAGAGATACGGCAGATCTTGGTCGAGGCCGCAGCTTACTCGTGCAGTGGTAAAACAATAATTGAAAAACGCAGGGAACGCAGTGCCTGTTGTTAGTTTGTTCCTGATCTATCCGTTTGTTGCTCCTAGTTATCGATCGCAGAGGTTTCTCTCGGTACATAAGTGTAACGCGTAATAAGGGGTCGACGACCAGTTCGATAGGTTTAGAGCACCTTGGAAAAGTGTCTGTTTGTTTTGCATATATTTTTATTCTTTAGTTTAGTTGAATCTTCTGTGAAGGAACAAAAGTTCGTGACGGTGGTGTCCCGTTTTTGCAATCTAGTGTTGTTTGCCACAGTGAACCTTTTATTTATTCGATGAAAATGCGAGCCCAGGATCTGTGGTGAAACTCTCTGTGTGCCTAGCCTCGAATGTTCCAATAAACGATTTACATTTACTGCAATTACGTTTATTCGATCAACCTTGAATTAAACGGACAGGGGAGGGAGAAAGCCAAATTTAAATCGTGATTCGATCAATCGAATTTTGAAAATCGATACCTCCGAAGTCGATTGTTGAAGTCTCGATTAATCGATGTTCAGTGAAATGCGCGTATTTGATTGGTCGAACGAACCTCGCTCAACTTCGCATTTCTTCTGTTTATTGTTAATCGGAAACAAATTGTTGTGTAAATCGTCTTTAAACAAACGTGTCATTTTTAATATAGTTTACGTTCGGGCGTCATAATTACAATAATAATAAGAAGAACAACAACAGCAATAATGGTGACAATATATTGGGCAAATTTTCGATGAGTCGCCATTACAAAACGTCATGGCGACCGTCGACGACGGGATCAAAAATTATTAATTAATAATCGAATCAATCGAAAGTGCGCGCTATTTTTACTTTTGTCGAGAAAACAATCAATTGAATTGACGTAAACAACGGGAATCGCGTTCGTTTCATGGTGAATCGTTTGTTTTTTCGGAGGTTAATAGTCGCGGTACATCGTCGCCATTTAATAGTATTCTTGAAGTTTGAATCGCGGTCTCTCTTGCAGCGTAATTTTCCACCGAGAAAGCGTTGAAGCCAACTACCAGAAAGATCACTCTCAGAAGGATGGCAGTATCCGTTAGCGAAATATGCGAGAACACGAAACTGGCCAGGGAGATGGCATTGACCGGTAACTACGATACCTCTGGTGTCTACTATCAAGGAGTCGTGCAACAGATCCACCGTCTGCTGACTGGTATAGCTGACAACACAAGGAAGGCCAAGTGGCAGACGGCACAACATCAGATCGTGCAGGAGTTCGAGAAAGTGAAAGCCACAGCAAATACTTTGCAGCTATTTAAGGTTGACGCTCATGGGGAGAGACTACCAGGTAGCATGGAACGCATTTCTCATGCTTAGTCATCAAGTTCAAAGTTGTCAGTATCTATTGGTTTCAGGTACAACGTGTTTGTCCTTTGAGGAACCTACAAGGGATCCAGCGCCATGGTCTTACAATGGTACAGACGCCTCCTGGAACCAAGGATCGTCCTTCACCCCCAGAGATCCAGATGTCTGGCCTCCATTAACTCCCAATGAACAAAAGTGAGTACATGACATCGACGTCAATCGACAGTATCTTACGAACCAAATTTGTAAGGAACGTGAGACCGGCAAGGAGTCTGCAGCAATCAAAACAGCAGAACAGGAGCAGTATAAAGAAATCCGTGACGAGCGCGCGGAGGACTGAAGCGAACAAAACAATCGGAAAGAAAGACGAAAGAAAAGGATCCAGGAAGGACGACGGGAACAAGGTCTGTCGCGCGAGATACACGCAGGTACGTTTGATGCGAACGGGCGACGATGCTTTCAGGATAAGTCAGAGGTAGAGAAGACGGCGGTGACGGACGCGGATGCAGAGGAGCGTAAGTTCGAGCCATCGAGCAACGACCGGGACTTGGTCGAGCTCCTGGAGAGAGACATCGTGCAGAAGAACCCGAACATTCATTGGGACGACATAGCGGACCTCCACGAGGCGAAACGATTGCTGGAAGAAGCCGTGGTCCTACCTATGTGGATGCCGGATTTCTTTAAAGGTATGAATATCCTCTTCGATGCGCATACATCATTCTCGAGCTTTAGGATGATGTTCGATCGTATGTTGTACAAGGCATACGTCGCCCTTGGAAAGGGGTGTTGATGGTGGGCCCGCCAGGTACCGGGAAAACGATGCTCGCTAAGGCCGTGGCCACGGAATGCGGTACCACCTTCTTCAACGTCTCTTCTTCCACGTTGACCTCCAAGTACAGGGGAGAGTCCGAGAAGCTCGTCAGACTTCTGTTCGAAATGGTAACACCGAACCAAATATCTCTGTACACTCCGTAATAAATCGCAGCGATTCGATCGTCGATTCAGGCGAGGTTCTACGCGCCCAGCACGATATTCATCGATGAGATCGACTCCCTATGCTCTCGGAGAGGTTCGGAGTCCGAGCACGAGGCCTCCAGGCGGGTCAAGTCCGAGCTACTCGTCCAGATGGATGGAATCAGCTCAAACAGGTATCATTTCACCGGCGACTTTCGATAAAATGAAATAAAGTGATACATCCTCGTCGTCCTGGTCATTATCAACGATCTCTTTCTTGTGCAGTGAGGATCCGAGGAAAGTGGTGATGGTGTTGGCAGCAACGAACTTCCCCTGGGACATCGACGAAGCTCTCCGCAGGAGACTGGAGAAACGAATCTACATTCCTTTACCGAACCGTGAGCAATCCTTAAAGAATGCGTAGCAGCGTCCTCGGTCATGATCGATTCGCCAATAAATCTTGTCTTATGTCGGTCAGACGAAGGCAGGGAAGCTTTGTTGAGGATCAATCTGCGCGAAGTAAAGGTGGATACATCCGTAAATCTCGCCGACATAGCCAAGAAGCTGGAAGGCTACTCGGGCGCAGACATCACCAACGTTTGTAGGGACGCGTCGATGATGTCGATGAGAAAGAAGATCGCGGGCTTGAAACCAGACCAGATAAGGCAGCTGCCCAAGGAGGAACTGGATCTACCCGTGTCCGCCGCCGATTTCGACGAGGCCGTCGAACGGTGCAACAAGAGCGTGTCCCAGGAGGACCTCGATAAGTACGAGAAGTGGATGAGCGAATTCGGTTCTTCCTGATTTGCCCCACCGTCCGGCAGCAGCTACACTCAATCTTCATAACGAAGACGAAATATATAATCGGACGATCGCCAACTCTGATCACGCTAGACGTATTACAATTGTCATTCGATTAAACGGCTCGATCCATCGTACGTTCGCGGCAATCCTTTCACACTTTTATATCGTCGATAGGAAAATGGTAAAAGAAATTGGAGACATTTGTTCAGAGACATTATTTATTATTATCTAATAATTTGATTCGCATCGTCGTCGGCCAGGTAAGCCGGTTCAATCGTCCAGTTCGGGCGCGCAGCCTTCACTCCTCAATCTACGCGTCTCCTCATCCACCTTTTTTGAGTCCTTGGGAGCCTTATATCGGGCCACATGATCGACTCTCACAGTCCTTCCCAGAATCTGAAATGGAAGCAGCAAGTACGTATATAGAAATCTTGTCTTCAACTGAATTTGATTTCGTACGAATATGGAGAACGTTACTTTGACACCGTTGAAATTGTCGACAGCCAAGACGGTGCTCCTCTGGTCCTCGTAACAAAGAAATCCATACCCCTTCTGTTTGCCAGTGTCCTTATCTCTTATCAAATTTATGTTGACCACCTCTCCATATCTGGAAAACCATCGAAGGCAAATGGACGTTATTCAAACGGAGATTCGCCCCAGGTATCGTCTCGCTTACTGAGAGAATATAGCGATCACATCCCCTTCAGTTAAATCATAAGGCAGCCCGCCAACGAAGATCCAAGCACTGTCTTTGTACTGATCATGCCACGAACTCTTTGAATCGTTGGATAATTCCTGTTCCCCCAATTTCTTTATATTCTTCACGTTTCTAAACAATGAGCAACAGGAAGAACATAATTTTGTCCGCCCTCCGTTTTGATTCATTTACTCACGTCAAAGGGTTCATTCTGCTGATTTGCGAGACGGAAGGAACGTTCCCTTTGCAGGATGTCAAAAGGAATCATTCGTTCATTCAGTTAATTAGGAGACGCAATCGGTATGATGCATGTTTGAGGGTTAGAGTTTAAGGAGTGACATCGATGTCGATGTCGATCACAATTCACAATGCGAATGCACACGCACGTGTAACTGGAGTTTGACTGTTCCTCAACGCGCGGCGCTGGAATCGAAATCCACCAAGCAGCCATTTTGTAATTTATGTACGACAATGGCGACTTGTCTTCGCGGTCAGAGTCTTTATAATAAAATAAAGGAGCGGTATTTACTGTTATTATTTTTTTGTAATTGTAAGTTATTTGAACATGGCTGGGGACAAAGTGTTGGGTGACCAGTCGCGCGTCAACAAGGAGAAAATCCACCAGGATCGCGTCTACAACGAGAATCTGAACGAGGACGATGAATTCGTCGAATACATCCCCTGCCCTGAGTTCCACTTTCCTGTAAGTCTGTTTAAATCCCCGCATACGATTCTACGTTACATCATGTCATCGTTAGTCGTCGTAAACGATGCGTATCGAGATTGAACGAATGACTCCACCTTTTACTTTTAGACAGCGATGTGTACCTTTTGTAATGGATATTACGGACCCTGCTTCGAGGAGCCCGTCTGTCCTACCTGCCATGCATTTCTCTTTCCGAACGACGTCAGTCCCTTGCAAGTGTTCAGCGAGGTTGGTCACACATAAGAATGTTCATAAGCCTGAGTTAACAATATTTATCCGGTCATAGAAAACGGATGACGAGGACTCTGGGAACGATGAACCTACGGAGCTGTACTATCACGAGAGGAGAACCAGTCAGCAGCAACAGCAGCAGCAGAATCCTCTGCAAAATGTTAACTCCAGATTACATTGTTTCGCGGAGAAGAACGAGGATTCGGAGAATGGTTTGGGAGGAAGGGAGCACGAATTGGAGGCTTGTAGTTCCAAACAGCCCATGTGTGTTATCCAGTTACAGTGGAGTTACAGACCACAGGGCGAGCCTTCCAGATCTTACAATCTCTCGGAGCGGCTTGAGATGCTGGCGAACTATAAAAGAGATGAGTGGGAGTCAGGAACGGAGCCAGGCCTCATGGAGAGACTGCCGCCCGAGGTTCTTTTGGTCGTGTTCTCTCACCTGGATGACGTGAGCCTCTGGTCAGCTGCAAATGTCTGCAGGAGGTGGTTTGGCTTACTCTCCACCCACGTCACCTCGCACCAATGGCAGAGGAACGTAAAACTCCGTTGGCCACTATACAAACCCATCGGTTACGTGAAAAACTGGTACAAGGTACGATTTTATTTGAAATACTAATTCCAACCTTCAATGAATATAATTGAGAACTTATTATCGATGCGGTGATGCTAGGTTTACGACTACCTGGCCTCGTCCGCACCTTGCAAGACCTGTCTGGCGCAGACATGTTTGAGATCGAGGCCACCCAGGATCCAAGAGAACTCATGGAGGAAGAACAGACTGCACAGCGAACTTAAGAGTTTAAGGATAGACCCTCCGGAGGGGATCGAGGCTACCCCCTTGGATCAAATGTGTTGCCACTGGCAGGCTACCATCACCGGGCCCGTAGGGAGTCCCTATGAAGGAGGCTTGTTCTATTTGTACCTTCAGGTCCCCTGCAGGTACTTGGTTACACTTGGTACGCGAATCGCCTCGTTAGTTGTCGAAAACGATCTGGCGGTTTATTCGATTCCGTTCGCGTTCCAGCTATCCTCTGTACCCACCGGTGGTCAGATTCTTAACGAAGATCCTCCACCCGAACGTCTCGAGGCACGGAGACGTCGGCATTGATTCGATTCATCACAACTGGTCTCTCGCTTTGACCATCTCTAAGGTGTTGATCAGCGTTCAGAGCCTGCTCACCGATCCCTACTGTCAGGTACCAGTCCGAACTGAATGTTCCCTTTTACAAACTTCTGAACTGTTAATAAATTGATTGATTCGCAGGTGTGCATGGAACCGGAGTTAGGAGAGATGTACATGAACGATAGGGAGAGGTTCGATGAGATCGCACGATCCTGGACGTGGAAATACGCCATGCACGACGTCGTGACTCCTTTGTGAAACAGTGAAACCAATTCACTTTGATTGAACAATTGTGAAGACCGGTTCAACCAAGATCCGACGTTATGAAAAAGAATACATATTCGCGAAATTCGGAAGAGTTGTTCTTGTTACGAGTATCGTCCCTTTGTCCGCTATCTCTCGGAGATGCGTCAGATTCGTCCGGTGATCAAACGAGGTCGATAGACAGGGGAGAAATACATCGACAAACGGGTTTCGTACAAATCGTCGTTCGAATAATATATTATGCTATTGTATCGTACATAAAATAACACGTGGATGCGACTGATATAAAATAGACAGAATCTTTGTGCGCAATAAATATAAATATTAAATAGAAAGAGAAGCGAGCCGCGGGAACGTTCACGAGAGGATCGTACAGGTTTCCATGTTCGAATGGAAATCATTTAAGAGAGTACAGTCGGTATTAATTTGTATATTAAAAACTGCTCGATTAATTGACCATAGCCGTTTTGATTCCTTACAGACACTCCCGGAGCGATGATTAATTAATGATTTAAGGGACCTACGATTGCGGGTAGGTGTTCAATATTGCCAGGCAGATCTCAATGGCGTCCGTTTCGAAAGGCAGCATCATCATCGCGTTTCGGACGTGCTCCTCGGGGAAGATATTCGCCAGATGGTAGTGAATCTTCGATCTGGCGTCGAGGAACTCCCTCAGTACCTCCGTCGACATCTGCGAACAGACGGGAGACAATAACCGGTTCGTTTCTGAGCCTCCCGATCGTTGATTAGAACCCGAAGCTAGCTCCAGGCTGGTGGCTGTGGCTCGAAAGACGGGTTGGTAGGAGTCCGGGGCCGACGCTATTCGAGTCAGGTGTTGATGACAACTGGAAGAATACGGAAAATTGATGCATGATAAATTCTTTCCGTACCCAATTTCTCCGACTTCCGGTTTACCTCGGAGCCGATGCGAACGGTGTCTCGTGGCTGGAATGTCTGGTCAACGGTCGATGCCGAGCTGTGCTCTCATTTCCCTGCGTCGAACTGGCAGCACCGTTCCGCGACGATTGCTGACGGTCTCTTAATTGCAAAAGCCTCGGATCGTACACTGGATTCAGGGTCAACTGCCGTTGGAGCTTTTTGTGCATGTTGGGCGCCTCCGTCTCCGGTCTGCTCGTTCTCCAACACGGGGAACGATGAACGACTGGAAAATAACGATGTCAAAGAAGCTGTGACTCGAAATCGCGGCCTGATTTTGCTTTTAATTGATCGTAGATGGTTCACCTCTTGAACTGGTGGTAGGCAGTGGTTGGCTCTGGTCAATCGTCACATTTTCAACGGACTTGCTCTTGGCGACCGTCGGCGATGGTAGTTTGACGGTGCTGTTCACCGCCGACTTGGCTTTGCACAGCGGTTGATGCTGAAACACCTCCGTGATAATTGTATCATATATAAAACGACGAAGAATCGAATTTTCGTTGAGAATTCGCGTCGAAATGTCGTTTACCTGGAGGTGTCTCTGCACGTGTTCTACCAGCTTCTCCGTGACGGATTTCTGCGGATGGGAGCCTCTTTCCGGATGCCGGAACTTACACTTATTCCCATAAGTGCACTTCTGATCAACGTCGAATAATTAATAGAACTCGTCGCTGTTAGGACCGAATACAATGTAAGAGCAGCGGAGAGAGTACCTTGGCGTAGGGACAAGGTGGAGCCGGGTCCGATTTCCTAGGCAGTATCCTGAGGAAATTGTCAAGCGTCGGCCCGCTCCTGCCGAGGGGATCGTCTGGAGGCATAAAGCGGTCGTTGACAAACGTGTACATCAGTATCCTTTCCTCGACGACTTTTCTAAACTCCGGATTCTCCTGCGCCAGATCTCTGTAGTTGTCGTTGCTCACGACGATCCCATCCACCTCCACCGCCAGCTTTAGAATGTACCTGTCGTCGTAGCAGACCATCCTCTTCCCCCCCACTAATCTGAATCAATCACGACGACTCAAGGTAAAGACCTCGCAGCGATCTTTCCGACTTATAAACCGTACAGGATAATTCGTGTTATCGATTACAGAATAGATCTAAAGATCGAGCCACCTGGAAGGAGTGAACACCAGCAGCCTGTCCCTTTCCAGCTCTCCGAGTATCTCCTGATCCGCCACGGGATTGTCGATCCTCGATGTTTCCTTCCTCCACTTCGGAACGAATACGGTAATCTCCTTGTGTCCCCTAGCTCTGAACCAATCCACGCAGATCTTTATTCCCCTGCAGGAGAATACCTCCTTGTTCCCGTGACTCATAGCGACGTTGCTACCGTCGATTACGACCGATCGCAAACGGCCGGATCCGGGATTCACTTCGTTCCCATTGGTCTCGCAGTACCCTTCCGTAGTCTCCTCGTATCTCTGGGAACAGCTGGCGGCTCCCAGTTTGATGAGTTCGGCTAGAAGCTCATTCTGCTCTGGGTCCGGGCCTAACTTTTCCAACGCTGTTTGCACAAGCCGCTCCGTGTAGCCTAGTTTTAATGCGAACTCCACTCTGGCCGCGTATCCTGTTGAGTTCACGTTAGATAAAGTTTCATGTCCGCGCAAGGCCGATAACAAAGTTAAGAAACGCGGAACGTACCAGGACTGTGGACTGTGGCCGAGCTACCCTCGACGGTGACATACTCCGCGAATTCCGCGGCCAGGGTGTCCGAGGACGTCCTCGAGACGTCGGAGTGACGCGAATCGGGCACCTATGTATCGCAAACAAACGTTCACCACTGCATTAAAGACTGATCACTGTTCCATACCTGTCCGGACGAGGAGGTAAACACCGGTTCATTAAGTCGTAATTACCTGGGATTCTAGTGGGACGCTCGACGTACTAACATCCTCTGCCTCGTAATCGCTGTCGTAAGATGAGTCCTCGGCGTTGCTCTCGTTTCCCGAGACGGTACGCTCGACGTACTTCTAAGACCAATCGTACGCGCTCTACAGCCGTTCTTTTCTAGAGGCCCACACGTGAAATCTCGCCAGCGACAATATTTACTTACTTTCCCAGTAACGGTCATGGTGGTTCGGTGCTCCGCGGTAACGAGATCGGTTTCACGAAGGCATTCCTGATCGTTGGAGTTTGTCCTCTGGCAAGGGACGGGGAACAGGTTCGCGTCTGACCGGAGAACAGAAGGACGGCCACTTCCGGGACGTATTCCGTTAGATCCTGGAACGGTAATCGAAAGCAGGACAAACTTTCTTACGGAATGGACGAAGGAAGGGACGACGACGACCGGTCACATCGGTGAATGGAGCTCGCGGAGCTCGCGGACCAGACGTCATTACCCCCACTGTGTTTTCATTTATCCCGGTTCCTCACCGAGCGCCTCGTCGTCGGTCATGAGGGAAAGCGCGTCCTTCATCGAGCGACCGACCCATAGACCGACCGTACCGGATAAATTGGCAGCATTGTCGGAAATGAGAGTGTTCGCGGCAACGAGAACAAATCGTTTTTTGTACTCTGAGTTCATAAAAGCCATCGAGGAAAAGTGTCTCGGTGCAAAAGTGTTTCCGTTCGAGTTTCTTAAAAAATAAAGCACTTATAGAGCCGGCGGTCTACTGCACATTCGGATGGATGATAAAAGATGAACCTCCCATTGAAACAGTGGTAGAATACACTTTTCTTACGCGTTACGCAATAAATTGATAATAAAATATTTTTTACTCGAATTTTAGTGACACTTCTACGATGACAGCCGTTTGCCGCGCCGCTGATTCGAACTGCATCGGAGCGCTTCGAGAGCTTCCGTTCCCTTCCGTTGGCGGGATGGCGATGGCGGGATAGATGACGTAGGTAACAGCAAGAACAACCGCCAAATTTGCGTACCGGTTTCGTTGAAGAAAAATAAATTATCGAAGAAAGGATGTCGAGCCCGGGCAGGTCGCCGAGGATAAACAGTCCCAGAAGGAGCAGTCCGAGAACTCCCAGGAGACAGGTTCAAGGAGTGCGTTCTCCCTCGTTAATCGGGACTCCCAGTAAGTATCTTCGCATGTTACTCTAACCTCGTAGCATGTTCATCGATTCATTTCATTTGTAAAAACAGGGACAGGTAGGAATGCGGCAGAGAATGTGGAGACTCCTCTCAGGTGGAGTGCCAATCGGCAGGAATTGGGAGCCAGGCCGCCAACGATCCTGGCTTCCTCCGAAAGAGACAGCGGACCTGAACACGTATCTGAGTCGAACCAGGTCAGTTCTGAGATCGGTCTACAGTTGTCATCGCCGATCAACTATGGCACACCTAGTTCCCTGGGATCAATCAGAACGCCTAGAAGTGGTATACGAGGGACTCCTGTCAGGCACAGGCCAGACATCAACACAGACGGCAGGCGTCTGCGACAATTTGCTATACAAGAATCAGCAATACCAGAAGTCACTGAGACAGAGCGCAACAGTGAGCCATCAGAGCACAATGATAAGACGTCAGAGGGTGAAGGCGCGGGGCCTCAGCTGGTGGTATGGGGAACAAACGTGGTGATAAATCAGTGCAAGAACAAATTTAAATCATTCTTTCAATGGTACGTCGATTCAAGCATAGAGAATGACGAGCAAACGGATCACATGGACCTGGTTCAGCCATTGTATCTACAAAAGCTCGAGGAGATCCACACTTTAGAGGAACCTTATCTGAATGTGAACTGCGTGCACGTGAAGATGTTCGACGAGCACCTGTATCAGCAATTGCTAGCCTACCCTCAGGAAGTGATCCCAACGATGGACATGGCAGCGAATGAATTGTTCTTCGATAAGTTCCCGGCTGCGGTCCTTGAGCATCAGATTCAGGTTCGGCTGTTCAACGTCGAGAAGGTGAAGAACATGCGAGAGCTCAATCCTTCCGACGTCGACCAATTGATCACAATCCCTGGGATGGTGATCAGAGTCTCGAGACTGTTGCCTCAGCTGAGGGAAGGCTGCTTCAAGTGCAGCGTTTGCGGATTTACGGTGATGCTGGAGGTGGAGAAGGGGAAGACTAGGGAGCCGACACTCTGCGCCCACTGCTCGCACAAACACTCGTTCTCTCTGATTCACAATCTGAGTAATTTCTCGGACAAGCAGATGGTCAAGCTCCAGGAAGCTCCGGACGAGATGGCGCAGGGCCAGACGCCTTCCACCATCATTGCCTTCGCTCACAACAATCTCGTTGACGCCGTTATGCCTGGCGACCGAGTCTCCGTTACCGGGATCTATAGGGCTGCCACGCACAAGCCGAATTTCGAGCATAGTCTGCAGGCCGTTTACAGGACTTACGTAGACGTAGTACACTTCAGGAAATATAGCTCGAAGAGGTGAGGGCTCATTCGATTCGACCGGATTGTAAGTGAAGCGTCATCGAATCGATCGAACGATCTGTTTTCAGATTGCATAACGAGGAGGATGGTAAGGAGCACAATTTCACTGCGGAGAGGATAGAGCAGATCAAGGAGCAAGCCGCCAGGCCAGATATCTACGATCGACTAGCCAGACACATCGCACCCAGCATTTACGCCAACACCGACGTCAAGAAAGGAATAATACTGCAATTATTCGGTGGGACCAAGAAACCCGTGTCTCCGTTGGGCAAACACTTCAGGCCCGATCTAAACATTTTGTTGTGCGGCGATCCGGGCACTAGCAAGTCTCAGCTGCTGCAGTACGTTTATAATTTGGTCCCCAGGTCGCAATACACCAGTGGAAAGGGTAAGGCAATGATTACTTTCAATGCAGTTGTATTTATTAAGTTTGACAAATAAATTGCAGGGTCCAGCGCGGTCGGATTGACCGCGTACGTGACCAAGGACCCGGAGACGGGTCAGTTGATCCTCCAGTCCGGTGCCTTGGCATTAGCAGATAACGGAATCTGCTGCATCGACGAGTTCGACAAGATGAGCGAGAACGCGAGGTCTGTACTCCACGAGGTGATGGAGCAGCAGACTCTGAGCATCGCAAAGGCTGGCATCATCTGCCAGTTGAACGCCAGGACGAGTATACTGGCTGCTGCGAATCCCAGCGAGTCGCAGTGGAACAAGAACAACACAGTAGGTTCCGTCAATTTTATTCGTAGTTCTCCCGAGCAGCAATTATTAACGGTAAGAAACTGTTTTCAGGTGGTGGAGAACGTGAAGCTGCCTCACACACTTCTGTCTCGCTTCGACCTGATCTTCTTGATTCTGGATCCTCAGGATGAGGCCTACGACGGGAAACTAGCTTCGCATATGGTCTCGTTGTATTATAAAAATCCGGAGGAGTTCGAGGACGAGCAGATGAGCAAGAGTCTGGTACGGGACTACATAGTGTTTGCCAAGGAGCACGTGCACCCGACTTTGAACGAGGAGAGTCAGCAGAGATTGATCCAAGCGTACGTGGACATGAGAAGGGTGGGCAGAGGGCGTGGGCAGATCACCGCTTATCCCAGGCAGCTCGAGGCCCTGATAAGATTGGCCGAGGCTCACGCAAAGCTCAGACTCAGCCCTGTCGTCGAGTTGGAAGACGTGGAGGAAGCTTGGAGGTATATTCTCATTGTGTCTGAGGCGGGGGATTGAAGGGAAAACGATCATGAAATTGTTATTGATTACAGACTGCACAGGGAGGCTTTGAAGCAAGCAGCGATCGATCCGCTGAGTGGAAAGATCGATATCAACATAATAACGACCGGGATATCGGCGGCAGCTAGGAGAAAGAAGAAGGAGCTGGCTGATGCGTTGAAAAAATTGATCGAAAGCAAGGACGGGGTGCACGTTATCAGTCAGCAGAAGCTCTATGCCGATTTAAGACAGTCATCCGAGTCGTTAATTTCCCGAGAAATGTTCCAGGATGCCCTTAGAGATCTACAAGACGACGGGCTGTTGACCATAATCGGTAGAACCAACGTCCGCGTCAATAAAACCTAATTAATTATTACTTTCAATACTCCGTACTACATGTATATTTAAGTGTTTGATAACCAGGGTGATCGACCTTTATTTTATTCGTAATCCGAGTGAGAATAAATCATTTTAATACTTTTCCATATAACATGTTGCGTTTTCACAGTTTTGTTTCGCTTGCTGCGAGGCCATCTAATTACATCAACGATCCTATTCATTATATTGAAACGACGATTCTCCCTCTCGTCGGAAAGATTGCAATAATAAATGATCCGGTCACGCAACGTGACAATTAAAAGGCCGCAGCCAATTTCCAGTCGATCGAACTCGTGAATAATCAAATTCTAATTAAATGGCGAGCAGGCAATAACGATGGTGCGAACTAACGCTTGTCATACTCGCCGTTCGGTCACTGCTACAGAAAGGTATCCGAGGTAAAATGTTCGGGATGCAGTTTCAAGTGAAAAGTCAGAGCTCTGCTCTGGCACCGATTGTCTGGTTGAACAGAGCGTTTTGCCTGGACGTTTGTCACTTCTCGGGACGTCCTGCCTACTGTCTCAGCTTGTTATACGCCGCGACTTGCACCAGTCTTTATATTCTAGCGTACAGAAGCAGGAACATGAACGATATCGGTTGGGTCGCGTACCAGGAGATCAGCTACACGTTCATACTTTGGGTGAGCATCGTGGTCAGCTGTGTGTCCGTAGTTTTCGGGTTTGTTCACACGAAGGTAAGTAAGGTGGATGTTAGGAAAACTGTGATATATTGCACAAGATTTTTTCGATGCCATTGTCGTCCTTCAAGTACACAGGACTTGAGGCAGATTATACGAAGGTGCGAACAGGTGGACGACACTCTGGAGTCGTTCAGCGTTAAGCGGGAGTACACAAAATTCTTCTGGAGCGTGGTAAGGATAATCCCGATATGGATTTTAACGATGTTCTGCCTCTACGCGGTGGACACCTACTGGATGACCGACGAGTTGGGCGTCATGCACGGGATACGACTCTGCTTCCTCGTGCACGTCCCCTTTACCGTAAACTCGATGGTGATACTCAGTTTCTGCACTTTTATGAGGTAGGCGCGTCGTCTAATTTGTTTCCAAGCCCTACGCAGGTTCGATCGGGAAAACGATTGATTTTTGCAGAGTGTTAAAAGATAAGCTGCGTAAATTAAACGTGGCGATGTGCGAGGTGAGCCGTTTGTCGAACGCGGCGAACGATGTGGAAGCCAAGTACGTGAAACATGACTCGCGCGCGAGCAGAAAGATTGTGGTGGCGATGAATTACGTTAATAGGAAACGGGTCGTCCAACATTTTCTTCAAACCTCGAGGTAACATTTGCAATCTCGATTGTTGTTACGCCTCGTTGATGATCGAGAAACATTCTGCTGAAGGCACGTCCATCTGGAGATCGTCAGAATTTCCGACGTGCTAAACGGCAGTTATTGCTACCAGCTGCTGCTCGAACTGGTGGTGGAGTTCACGTTGATAATCGGACTCCTTTACAACGTCTATTTTGAATTGATGAAACTGAACAGTCCCTCCGAGATTTGGGGAAACAAGGGCATCGCAGCTATGAGTTTCTGGCTCTTGATGAATGTGGGGAAAATCGTGGCCGTGAACAATTTCTGCACCGCACTCCATAACGAGGTTCGTTACGTTATATTTTCCGACTCCTTAATCAATTCTCGAACCGAAACCTTGTTTTGCAGGCAACGGTAACTGGACAGTATCTCCGAGAGCTGGAAGGATCTTACTCGGATGAGAATATCAGAGATGAGGTGAAGAATCAACGATAGAACGAGAACTATAAGAATACATTTTCTAATCGATTTGTCTAATGTCAGATGCAGCAGTTCTCCATGCAGCTGGTTCTGCATCCCCTCTGCTTCTCCGCGGGTGGCTTCGTTTACCTCAACAATCGGCTCACAAAAATGGCAAGTAAAACAACTATAATTACTTAGCAAACTCGGGATTTTACGCGTTTAGTACAGAATGAACAGAAACAAGAAAAGCAAGTGACGAAATAATAATGTTTTATTTCGCATAAAAATCCGCGACTTATTAGTTCCGTCTATTAACTCTATTATCTCCTGGTTTCCAGTTTTTCGGAACGATCATGACGTACATGGCGATACTGGTGCAAATGAGCTCGACGCCCACCGCTATCCGATCCCTGACCCAAGTCGTCAACGACTGATCCACTTACATATTCATTAACGAATCAACGTCTCGATCTTATCGTCAGTTAAAAATTCTTAACATAAGCGTGTGACAACAGTTATAAATTAGCGAGAAGCGATACTAGCATAACTTATGGCACCCTGCTTCCGTCAACGATCGTGCAAATCACGCGTTAATAGCACTGCTCGCGCTTCGCCTATACAAATTGGACAACGTGGGATCGTAGGGAGTAGCGGCGAACCCGACGTACCTATTATTTTTTCGATGAACGAATCCGCCGGTTCGCGGATCCGTCTTATAATAAATGACTCGCCTAATACCGAACGGGTCGATGTACCCGAACGATCCCACGGCTCCATTATTCGGCTGTTGCTCCTCTTCGTGATACTGTCGCTTCAGGTAATATTGAAAACCGTTCTGTACGGTGTACGTTCCGTCGTACTCCGGTTTCGAATTGTATGTATTCGGTACGGCGACCGGCGTACTCGGGCTCGGTCGATAGGCGAACGATCCGATGTCGTTGGTCACCGGAACGTTTTCGTTCGATTCTCTAAAAAATAAATAACGGCTTTGAATTTGCCATTTGGCGGTTTCTAAGAAGAGATGGTACCTGAAGGGGTTTGGTGGTCTGACAGGGTTCACCAGGATCCCGGTCTGCGCCGGGACTCGCTTGGCCTCGACCACCGCGTCATCGATGGGCCTCTCCTTGCCCACGTAAACCATCTTCGACTTTAAGATACGAAATCCATTAGAGTCGGCTATGTAATCCTTCAATCGGAGGTAGCCGAGAGGGTCCAGCCATCCCTCGGTCCCGATCACGGTACCATCCGCCAATCGTTTCTCCTTCCTGTATTGTCCATTCGACGTTTGGTACCTAAAGAATCTTTCGGGTCCCTCGTCGGTTTGGATGTGATACTGGGTGCCCGGGCTGAAATTCCACCCGCTCCTCTCGGCCTCTGCCAAGTTCGGGGAGAGACACAACACCGTACCCTGAGATATAAATTAAAACAAGTTTAAAGTTCCTCCCGCAAGTCGATCGTGATTTAACGAAGGGCGGCAGTGAGAGGATCCGAAGAACAACGGTGGGACCAGTTAATGGTATAACTAAATACATAAGATCGAGGACAAAGGGAAGGGAAAGGCGAGGCTACGGAGGTGAAAATCCGCTGTGCCACGGGACTGTACCAAACCGGAGACAATGGGTCCCAGTCACGGTAATTTCACTTAAATTAAAAAGATAGAGGACAATTTTATACGCGTTCTTTTTCGAAGTTTCGAACCGTGTCTATCGATAGACACTGTGCTACGAAGCGGTGTGAAAATTATACGAGGACGAGCACGGAGAAACCGAGTCATAATTAGAGACGATGCGTTACGCGTTGCAATTTGAATTAACGAAGGCCGAGTCTATGTAATAAAAGAAAAAACGTATCGGCATGCTATGTACGTACGTCAATTGAAAATTAATGAGTAGCGTCTGTGACTCAAACTGGAACATCGTTCCGATTGCGAGTCATCGCGATAAATATACGACTTATGAATCTTTAAACAGAAGTCGATTTTTTACGATTATCGGCTATTACGATTCACGAATTTCTTACCCTCAGCAAGGTCAGCCAACAAATTATCCTCAACAGCATGGTCGTTGATTAATAATCGTTATCCCATAATTCATGTTCTACCGGTGAAGTTAAATCGATATGTTACCAGAAATGGGAGATTTTTAATCGAAGAACTCGAAGACGTCAGCCGATCATTCTTTCTCTGATGTATTTACAATTTTCACGGTGCGGAGAGTGAATGAAAGAGAGAGTGATCTTAATCGTCGAGCGGGCGAAGTGAGCACGTTGGAAGCGGCTGTGAGACTGTGAGCGGCAGAGAGCTCCGACCCGGGTACTCTCCTTTCAGAAGAGTCTCTTTTTGCGAACAACGCTATCCTCCGAAGCAGCCAAGGTTTCGACCCCGCTGTCCACGGGAGACCGATTATAAAAATAATCATAAATCAGTAGCCTTCAAATGAAAATACTATGGTACGTTATTCTACGATTCTCGTTATCAATCGAATGAAAAATGATGAAATCTCTGATTATATAAAAGTTTTTCAGAGAAGATTTCAGCCTCCCCGTATATGTCACGATGATATCATTTAAGTATGGATTCGTATGTGTACACGCGCGTACGTGTACGGTGGACTCTCAAACTCGTAAAAGTGAAAGTGGAGGAGAAAATGGGATCGTGAAACTCGACCAATAAACCGATAACAATGATGCAAAGAAGCCGGTGACAACGGACATCTAATGATGACAATAACATTGATGGAATTCAGAGAAGAATATTGCGAAACGAATTCTGTTTTCCTAAAGACAGAACGATGTAAACGACCTTGTTTCCTGTCCTGTGCGTTAGCTAAGTAACAAAAGACAACGGTTGCGAAAGCTTCCCAGTGATGCAGGGAGAGGAACACAGGAAACGTTAGATACAATCTGACAATGAGACTCTCCGCGGTGCCCCTGCGAAAATGAACTTCTGTTCCCGATCTAAAGCCACGTCTTCGGCCTGAAGAAATTTTCCCTTACAACGTTATTTTGAAAAAATTAAAAAACTTACCAGGGATAGGAAGAGTAACGAGGCTCTCATCGTTGATCGATCTAAAACTACCGTGTTACATTTGTACAACTGTTTCTAACTCGAATCAATCGATGAACCGTTCGCGTCATACAACTGGTGAGAACGGGTGCTCCTCCGAGGAGCGTTCGCGAGATCCTACTGATCCTCAGTGGAATCGAGGGTCACGAATCTCACGGCTAAGAGGCAGCCTACGTGCGTACAAGCTACCCACATGAACCACCGGCCTTACTTGGGAGCAGAGGTCTGTCCCTACGCCCTCGCAATTCCCGTTTTGATCATGCATACGCGCGCAAACAGGATACAAAACGATAGTGTTATATGAAGTATAATCAGGAAATAATCGAACCAGACGTCTAATATAGACATCTTTTCTCTGGCGCTGATCGACAAACAATTGTGAAACCCTCGTCATCTGTAATAATGAATAATCGTAGTCTTAGCTAACTGATATTAAAGTACGATTGTATATGATTATTTAATGAGCGTTGAACAGCGTCTGTTTCTTAGGTGGACGGTAATCGTTACGCGCAAACCACGGAATTGAATGAAATTACGTCAGCGTTATTCCTGTCCGTGGCTATGCTTCCGTTACCTTCGCTCTGTCCTTGCTCGCGATTCTAACGGAGGCAAACACGTTTCGCTAATCGCGTTCGAACCGTGCCCACGCGCTTTCAAAAACGCTTGCCCCCGCAAGGAAGATTCATTGTAATTTGGATCTTCCGTCTTTCCGCTATCGATGATAATAGTACTTCGTTTACCTAAAGGAAGTGGGAATGTAAACAGAAAGGGGATGGCATGGAATCGTTCGGGGTCAATGACCTCCACCTAGCGAGATCAAAAAGTTTCAAAAATTGAAACGGTATCAAGCAAAGAATTACTACTGTTTCAGACTTTGTCGAATTACGTCGACTTCGGATTCGATCTAATGATCGTTCTCGTATGAAATTATCATTGATTACACGTTTTACATAACTAATCGTAAGCGTTACGCCATTACGAGGAGAAAGGCTAGCTCTCGGTTTGGAAAACGTGCTTGTACTCACATGATCGACGTCGGATCATCACTTCTTTCTAGGATCGCTTAGAATAAGGTTTGCAACGAGTGAAACTGGCACAATTATGTTTATTTGAACGGTACACTTTAATTTTTAACACGGTTGACAGGCGGCTTGGGGACACGGACACGGACACGGTTGCGGGCACGACGTCGGACATATTGGAACCAGTGTACCAGGTAGCATGTAGCTGCGAACGTAAAACCCTCGGTTACAGCTCAATGATTAATTAAGAATTACGAGAATGACATCGCGGACAGATCGTTCTTTTGGCGTGCGTATAAGACCGTGATCGGAGCGGTGCATGTAAAGGAAAGGATCGTGTTAAATTATTTGAATAACCTGCAATTGTAGGTGGTATTGTCGTCCATGGGTGTAGTTGGGACTTGGTACCGGGGCTGCTCCGCCCAGGGCTTGTCCACGGGCGTTACTCCGTCCACTGGCTGATAACTGAGCTGCATGATCGTCTCCGTGGTCATAGGAACATCCGAAGGACGGTAAGTACGATCCGGTGCATAGCTCGGCAGTGGTAACAAGCACTTGTCGTTGTTTATGTAGGAGAGCTTGTAAGTGGTGCATTCTGCAACAGGGTAACATTGAACGTGGTGCGAAGCACGGAATGATTCGAGATACGATGAATAGTTACTCTCGAAAGGCGCGCAGGCAGTGGCAAGGCTGTCCTCCCTGCGCAAATCTGGCGACACAGGGACGTTCTTCCAGGTGAAATCGTGTTTCTGCGTAGTGACGTCCTGCATCGGGCCTCTGCCCAACCACTGCTTGTCGCAGGGAGTGATCGGTGTCTCTGGTTTCACGCACCAGTTACCCAGAAAACTCATCTAAATTCAAATGTAATTAATCGTTATCGCATCACTTATATCTGCTGTGTACCGTATTAAAAACACGACGAAACCAACTCTGTGGACGGTGTCATAGGAGAGAGGACAGTTGGAGAAGCGAATGTTGGCTGGGGGCACGATGGGATCCGGTTTGTCACCTCCGCAACCGAAGTAACTCAAACGGTACGTCGTGTTGTTCTCCGTGCAGCAGCCGGCGTTCAGCAGGTTTTCCGTCGGTTGAACGATGATCGGAGCCTGCCTCCTCTCGCAGTGGGGCCAGTAGCTCAGCCTGTAAGTCGTGCAACCGTCCATCGGCTCCGTCGGAGGTATATACTCTTGTTTATCCCACGCTGGTTCGTCCTGACGAAGAAACAGCGAGACGAGGAACTTCATCTTTAGTTCCGAAACATGAAATAAGAACCTTGACAACGTCGTTCGGATAGTAGCTGAGTCTATACGTGGTGTAGTCTTCCATTGGCACGTCCGGCTTCGCGTACTGTCTTAGGGGAGCATAGGACTGCGCGGGCATGTAGCAGTTCGTCGGGAAATAACTCAGCCTGTACGTTGTATCATCTGAGGAACAGCGGCGCGATTCTCTTTTAGGTAAGCCGCTGCCGGAGCTACGATATTCGGTCTCTCACCGGACAGTCTCTCGGGTTGACAGTAGATATTGTTCGGCGCGATGATAGGGTCTCTCATCGGTATGTTCTTCCAAGTGAAATCATGCTTCTGAGTGGTCACGTCTTGCATCGGTCCCCTGCCCAGCCACTGCTTGTCGCAGGGCACGATCGCCGTCTCGGGCTTCGCTCCGCAGTAATTGAAGTAACTATTCTGAAGAGCGATCGAATTAATCTCCGTTCAATTTGACGATCGACGATCTGTTACTCTGTATGTCGTCTCGTCGGACAGCGGACCGTCCCCAGTAACCAGCCAGTCCCTCGGCAGGATCGGCCCGACGATCTCGCAGGGATTCTCCCAGTAGGAGAGCTTGTACGTGGTGTTGTCCTCCATCGGTATGTTCGATTTCCAATAATGCTGCGGCATCAATGACCGTCACCGTGTTTGAACATTAATCGAGTCCAAACTTTTTTGTTAGCTCTAACAAACTTACGCGTATGGGCGCGAACGATTTGGGCACTTCGGGCTGGACGTATTTCTACGAACAAATTCGAATGTAATGTAAATGAACGTGAACGAACGATCGTGGCACACTTACGTAGCACAGGCGTTGAGTGCAACAGCAGCAACAGTTGCAGGTGTCATCGTGGTCTAACTGCAATCGAAAGGTTCGAAGTTTAAACGAAATCGTTCGACTAGTAAGAGTGATAGTTCTGTTTTACTTTGAGCTTCGTTTTTGCCTCGATGATCGACGGTTTCGTTTGCTGATCCTGCTTACTCTCGTGCCTGCAATTTTTGAATTTGTTTTCAGAGATCCCATTAAATTAAAACGAAACTAAATAACGGCTTACTCGACTTTACAGATCTGCATTTTGGATAGTATATGTACATATATGTGTATATAAAAAAGGGGGAGAATTAGAAAATAAAAAGATGTATAAAAAGGTGTAAAGGATGAATACAAAAGGTTTTGACAAAGTGTCAAACGAACGAACAATTGATTAGACAAGTTTAGTTTGGCATTTGTTATATTTTAGTTCGATTTATTCGTGAACACAATGTATCATATAACGTTTGTCAGTTTCCACGTGAAAGCTCTCGTTCCAGTTCCTTGATCACGGTTTCGATCTTCCTCGCAGCCAACGTCGCCGATCGTTCGTCGATGTCGCGATGAAAAACGAATCTGACGAGGCTGTCGTCCAATGCCAGACACTTGACGATGACTCCCTGCTCGTCCATCTTCCTCAAACGCTTGACGAACAAGCCGTTGGCTTGCGGAACGTCGGAACGCACCTCCACGAAGATCATGTTCGTCTGTACGCTGGCTAAATCGATAAAGAACACTTTCGAACGCAACCCAGCGATAGTCGAGGCAATAATCGAGGCTTTCTCATGATCACGGATCAAGTTTGGAACGTGATCCAATGCCAGCAAGCCGGCGGCAGCCAAAACTCCGACCTGCCTCATGCCTCCTCCGAGAATTTTCCTCGTTCTCCTCGCTTTAACAATGAACTCTTTGGTTCCGCAAAGAAGGGATCCTACGGGAGCGCCTGAAAAACGGTTCGAGCTTAAACTTTGACAAGCATCACGTCAATTACCACCTACCTAGACCCTTGCTGAGACAGAACATGACAGAATCGCATCCCTGCACGATCTCGGGTACAGGAATCCCGGAAGTGACGGAAGCGTTCCATACCCTGGCCCCGTCCATGTGCAACTTCAATTGGAATCGTTCACAGAGCGATACCAGGTCTCGGAGCCAGGACAGTGGCAATACTTTCCCATTTAAAGTATTCTCCACCATTACCAACCTGTTGACAGGCTCGTCATCTCTGGCTCTGTGCAATTTTCCTTCCAATTCCATCAGGCAAAAGGTCCCATCGCTTTTATTGTTAAGAGGCCTCAGGTCGGCGCCTACCAGCTCAGCAGCTTTGGCCTGATAATGCAAACAGTAGGACTCTTCGCCACAGTATACCTCACACCCTTGTGTATTGCAGTGGTTCATTACTGTCAAACAATTGATGGTTTTTACATTGGAAACTCGAAGAGATCGAAGACAGTACTTGCGATCAAGTTTCCCAGTGTTCCAGAGGAGACGAACAAGGCGTCCTCCATACCGACCATCTCTGCAGCTTTCATTTCCAATTCTAAAAGGAGGAACAAGATCAACATTGCATCTATGCACTTTTATTATCACTTACGTTTTACTGTCGGGTCCTCCTCGTAGACGTCGTCGCCGACCTCTGCGTTCCTCATCGCTTCCCTCATCTCCTCGGTGGGCTTCGTCATCGTGTCGCTCCTTAAGTCAATGGTATTTCTCTGTAGGTCATAATTAATCTTTAATATACGATGGATAATCTCTGGTGGAGTTCGACAACAGCCTTTTGTACCATTTCGTGATCCTCGCGTTCGGTGGTCGATGAACACTTCTCGTAATACATTTTAACAAACTGAAATTTCCGTTAAACGAAGGACAAGCAGTTAAGACTCGGATATATAACAAGTTTAAATAGGAGATACATATTCCAACGCGTATTATCGAGTTTGATGTTATATAAACGATGAGAAATATCTGTTAGTCTAATTCTGCTGATTCTGCTCATATTCTGCGCTGCGACTTCGAATGTGGCTCGAATTGGAGATCGGAGTCTATGTTTTCAGCCCCATTAATCAATTTATGCTAATCGACTCTTAAAGGGCATAAATCGTCGATAAAGACAAACTCGTCCAACTCCTGTGAACGAATCATGAAAGTCCATGTTGGACGAAAGCATGGCATGCATTCTATTTTCTCTGCTTCCATCAAACAGAATGTTCTGAAAGAATTCATGAACGTAGTTCTCGGTTGCGTGCACGTCCACGTCCTGTAATTTTTTCATTCTCTATTCTATATCTCATATTTTGCAAAGTAACAGAGATAATATAAATAGAGGAGGGGAGCCATAGGAATCTCTGTAAACAGAAAGATCCGGCGAGTAGAAAGAGAAAGAATTTGTGGCACTATCTGTTCTTCTCTAATGGCGCATGCGCACTGCTCAGTAGCAGCAGCAGGGACAACAAATTATTTATCTCATTGTACAGAATTATATAGACAAACGATTAAAACACGTAAGTGACAAATTAAGCGACATAAAGTATCGAATAAGAGCACTGTACAATAAACTAACTATTTTTAAGGACGAATAATCGTTAGGATACATTTTGCATATTTTGTTTCGTACAAATATTTTTATATATGTTTATGTTTATAGATGAATTAATATATAATTTAATGTTTAAAATGTTAATATTTGCTATTGTGCAATGAAGTACAAATATTTTATAATCTAATGCTTTGTAAATTTATTTTCCAAAACGGGTGGATGCAGACGACATTCGATTGTAATGCGCATGTGTCATTAGACAAGGATAGATAGTACCACAAATTTGTTCTCTCTTTCTAGAGGAACGATAGGTGTTGGCCTGGCTCCCCTTCTCTATTTATATTATCTCTATGCAAAGTAAGGCGATAAAAAATTGTTGCAAATCATAAACGCATGCAAATTATGAACCCGTTCGATGCGAAGTAGGCTGCTTTACTTTTTTAACAAGCTTAGCGGCGATATTGGCAGCACTGTCGATCGTTAGCCACGTTCATTGGAGATTGGAGTTACACGCAGTGTACAAAGAACGAATGGTTTACGTCAAAGTTTCCAGAAAGAAATAGAAATTGAAACCGTGTCGAGCCAGTGTCGAGCAATGTTTAATTAATCGATTGATTGGCAGCTGCTCGAATCGCAATGAAAATGGATTTCGGCACGCTGTTGAACGTCGCCCAGAAAAATGAGAACGCCAAGCAGGTTCGTATTTGAAACTCCTTAACAGAATAACTTGTGAATGATTTTGAGCATACTCGAGTACACACAGGTTAATTCAAGTATATTCGTGTATTTTTCACAATCGGATGTTATAACAATCGTTTCAGCCCATCGCTTGCTATCAAACGAAGTTTGCACCTCCAAAGAAGACCGCGAAGCAAAATAAGACATTGTCGGTGAACATAAAACGATTTCTGGCCAAGAAAGAGGAAGAGGAGCGACAGAAGGTTTTGGAAGAGAAGAAAAAGCGAGAGGTACGTTGATTCTTTTATCTGAATTTATTGAATGTCTACAACAATACTATTGTCTATTTATCATAGAATCTGCTGGCATTGAGAGATCACAAGGCACAGAGCAGAATCAACAAGCATTTGAAAGTGTGCAAGGCTGCGAACAAGTCTGTCTTGGCTGATGCAGTGGACAATGAGAACACAGCCGTCACGATGGCAGGTATGATCACAATTTAAGGATGTATTGGCTATACAGTCAATCCCAAAAGTTTATGCACTTTAGAAACGCATTTTTTAAAAAGAAAACAGACGTCGGAAGAATGTTGCTAATAATAAACAACAACAAAAAGTTTTCGATTTTTACGACATTTTTCCAAAGGATACCCCTTCAGATTTTGCGAAATTTTCGTTTTTTGTCAATAATTTCCAAACCCTTTAACTTACGGAAAAATTGCATCAGACCTCTCTTGTAGAGGACGACGAGATCTACAATTTCTGTATCAATTTTTTTCGCTAGCGTCAATAGTTAACGAGTAATTTGCAAAAAACTATTTTTTCGTTTTTCGTCAATAACTCGTTAAATATTAATGCTAGCGAAGAAGTTTTATACAAAAATTGTAGATCTCGTCGTAAGGTACATAAACTTTTGGGATTGACTGTATAGCCAACACATCCTTAATTGTTAAAACATCGAACGCAACTATGAGATATCATGTTAAACTGTTCGCAGGTCCTTCCCAACCAGACGAGGATGATTACGGTTACGTTTCGCAGGAAGCCTCTGCCTTTTACAACCAGCTGATGAGCAAGTACAACAGCATGCCCTTGCAGAAGGATATCTTTGCGGAATCTAAGAACAGAACCGTGAAGGATATTGCGTCGACGAAGGTATGGCATCAAATGCTTCTGTATCGATGAGATTTTATCAACGATTGATATTTTAACAAGAATCGTACGATAGGACAGGGTGAAGCAAGCGTTGAAGCAGCAGCAGATGGAAGATATGTTGGGCCACAGACGGAAGAGGAAGGGCAAGGAGTTCGAGACCCAGGATAACCCTGAGCCGAAAGAAGAACCGGTGAAGGAGAAACCGAAGGAAGAGCTGAAGGAGAAGAAGAAGAAACCGTCGATGCCGCCTCCCATCAATTTCGCGGATTTGTTGAAGATCGCCGAGAAGAAGCAGCACGAGCCGATCGTGATCGAGGTAAAACCGAAGGTCGAGGAGCCTGAGAGATTGTTAACTAAGAAGCAGATGAAGGAGTACGCGAAGGAGAAGGAGTGGAGGGAGCGAAGGAAGGCAGAGGCCAACGGTCTGGTTAACAAAACTACTACTGTTACTGCTGTTACTACTTCCAATACTACTACTACTACTATTAATAATAACAAAATCACTATTAACAATAATAACGATAATAGTAAATCGCAGAGTGGTCCAAAGAAAGAGAAGACGAACGGTTGTTCAAGTATCAAAACGAGTACCAAATCACCGCAGTGTTCAGCAGATATTAAGCCGAAGAAACCAACCGTGCCAACTTCGTCTGCAACAGTGCAAAATACATCGAGAGCCGTTTCAACTAAAATCAATAATAGTTTCAAAGTAAATGGTCCGACGGAGAGAGATTCGATAGCCGAGGAGAAAAAGAAGCTGGAGATGGAAAGGAAGAAGCTGGAGGAGATGAGGCAGGCTCTGGAGCAAGAGAAGAAGAAGCTCTGCTTGAGCAAGGCTCAAATCGATGAGCAGAGTTTAAGCATCAAAAAAGAGAAAATGATTAAGTCGACGGTCCCGAGGACCGAGGGGAAGAACGGTGTTCCGAAGAATCGTCTGCAAGGCGACAGGAAGGTGAGACAGTTGCCGCCTACCTTGAAGCCGAGGCCATCAGTCGATCACGGAGAAAGAGGGAGGAAGTTGATGGTGGGGCAGAAACGACGCTTAAATGCCCGCGAGGAGGACGAATACGATTCGGAACTGGACGATTTCATAGACGACGAGGTAGAGGAGGGCAACGAGGACTACAGTAAGTGCATCAGCGAGATCTTCGGGTACGACAAGAACAAGTACAGATACGTCGACGACGAGGACGACGATAGAGCCATGGAGAGCAGCTTCGCTCAGCAGTTGAAGGAGGAATACGTCTCGACGAAGATCGGTATAATGGAAGATCTGGAGGATATGAGGATGGAAGCGTTAGAGAAGAAAAGGAAGGCGATGCTCAAGAAGAAGAAGTTGAAGTAGCCCTCCTCAATGCGATATCCTGCTGCCTTACCTTGTTATCACCGAACTGCACAAACTGTACATAGGCTGTCTTTAACTTTATATATCAACAAATCTCATCCGAATTCGGTAGGAAGTTTATGTCGATTCTTCGAAACTCGCGCACAGTTAATCTAGAGAAAAAGGAAATGAGCGTATGCGCCATCATTACTTGCTTCATATTTTATACGCAAGATTATACATGTATTTATAATATTCACAACGTTAAGTTTAATATATATAAAAAGCTTAATTCTAGAGAAATAGTACATATATTATATATATATATATATATTAATAATAACGTTTTCTAAACCTTATATACAATAAATATTTATATATATATATGTATGTATATATACACAAACACACACATATATATACATATATATGACACTCAAGAAAACCCGTGTATATATTTACAACAGAATGTAACATAATCGTTGCTGTTCCTTTAAACGAACGTTGCAAATGCGGTCATTGCAGGATACGAAATGAACCAGAGCGCGAACAATTTCCAAAGATACTATCACAGCTTCAAATGAAATTAACATAACAAAACATACATTTCTATAATGATTCGACGGTACAGCTAAATTCTAAATATCAAATTCGAATACTAGTCGCTTGTTCTTTTAGTTTGTTGACTCGAATCTAGCCCAGGACTCGAGAATTCGAGTCTACGGCAAACAGAAATCGTTCATTCTTTAATTATTCGACTAAGGTCAAATCGTAAAGTTGTTAAAAGTCGTCGATGCCACCGTCGGGTACCCCAGCCCTGACCTTGTCCAGGACCCTGTTCACGAATTCCGTCGAGTGACTGGCTATGCGTATCTCTGTAAAAATTCGAAGATAGACTCGATTTACGATCCTGTCAGATCACGAATAGCGATGAGATACGAACTGGTGGCCGATTTGCAGCATCTCTCCATCTGCCTGGTCAGTTCCTCCTGATTCTCGGGGTTGGGCTCCGTCAGTTTAGCTGCTAGGGTCTGCTTGGCCTGTGCTATTCCATGTATTAATTTTTCTGAAACGAGATCACATTCTTAGTTGCGTGAAACGACTCGGTAATAATTTTTTTAAAACATTACTAAACTGTGCTCTTGTTCCAAACCGTGTAGCTTGATCTTATTGGCCTCGTGCTGGGCCTTCTTCTTCAGTCTACACGCCCTGGAGGCGAGCTTGTTTTTCTCCTTCCTCGTCTTAGGCCTGGCAGTGAACGGGAGCTCGGATACTGGCGTCATATCGTTGATGATCCTTGAGAGTTTGTCCAATTCCCTTCCTATACTGTACAATTTCCTCGGGTTCGGCGTTAAATCGTTCCCGTCACCTTTCCTAGCCTTTCCACTGTGTTTTATTCCCCGCAGGGCACAGCTGGGACTGAACACGGGATCCGTGGCTTCGTTCAATACGTGCGGATCCTCCAGCCGAGTTCTGGCCACGAGTCTCTGACCCTTCGGACCCTTCGCTTGAACGTTGTACTGCCAGAAGTACTTCTCCTTTTTGCTGTGTTTCTCCCTGCCGGAGTCGAGGCTCCTGTTCGGCTCCTCGCCGTCGCTGCCACCCGTGTCTGAAACGTAAAACGAGTAGCGAGGAACTTGAAACGAATCACTTCGAAAACCATTTCAACGATCGCCTACCATTGTCGCTGCTGTAGTCGTCGTAGTGATCACTATCGTCGTCACTGTCTTCGTACCCCTCGTCGTGGCTCAGTTGATCGATGTGATAGATGGGGTCCGGGCTCAAAGCACCGCCGGTGCTCAGGCTGCTGGTCGAGCCGGCCTCGACCACTCCCAAGCTCCCGGTACTGAGCAGGTGAGGTCTGGGCTCTCTCCTCGCCCAAATCTGCTCGAGACCCATCGTCCTAGTAGGCGCGGACATCGACAGCCTCGAGACTTTTGCTTTACCATTACCCGGACTGGTGGTCACACCATCCATTAGCTGGTCCCGGGACGAGGGTGTGGCCGAGTCGAACGAGGAGGAGTTTTCGCAGCGTCTCAGCAGCAGATCGTGGAGCGCTGATTGACCGTTCGGTTTGTTAGCCATGTGTGGAGACGTGGAGGAACTCGCAGTGCTGCTGCCTGCTACATGGCTCGTCCCTGGGCTCGGAAAAGCGTTCGGGCTGACTGTGTCGACGTTGTCCGCGTTCGCGTTCACGTTCAAGCCAAACCCGTGTGCGTTCACATTGTAATTCGGATAAATGTTCCTGTATCCAGACTGTGGGAAGCTGCTAGGAGCGAATCCCACGTTGTTGTCGTTGAATAATGGTCCAGTGCACTGAGTCGCGTTCGTCTCCATCTTGAAGGGCTGCAGTCTCTCCTCGGGCAGCAGCAGGTCGTCGAAATTCAAATCACCCAACAGAGTGTCATCGTTGGCATTCAATTCAGCCAACGTTGGACCTTGGATCAAGTCTGCCTTATCTACTTGGAGTATATCGTCATCTTCCCATTTCTCAGCTTTAAAGAAATCATCCAGCTGATCAGGGTCTACTTTAAAAGGTGACTCGACGTGCTCATGACACCTGTTTGGCCACATAGAGGCCAATGGAGATGGTGAGAATTGATCATAAATACCACGAGCCCCTCTGTGGCCTCCAGGAATTGGCACAGAGGCTGACGAAGGGCCCATGTCTTGACTGGGCTCTTGTTTCACTATCCCATCCATTGGACTGGCTTTTGTTCCCAGGAACAGATCTTTGTAGCTAGACTCTCCCATCTGGAACCCAAGAGGATCACACAGGGTCGACGAAATCTTGAAGACACGAACGACTTGGAGGTTAAACACTCACCAGCTTTTCGTCACCGATGTCTCGCGTCCGATCGGCAGGCTAAAAGACGTCTGAATCGCGTTGAAAGAAGCGCAACGTAAAGTTCATTAAGGACAATCGTGAAGGGACATAACAGGCATTGAACTACGAGAACTTCACGTTACTCGAAAGAATCGCCATCACTTTCGTCAGCAAATATTTTCGTCGCGACTATCCTCCTATTCGGATTTAATTGTTCCTCACCGAGATCAACGTTACGAGCTACTGAAAGAACGAAAACACGGTTCGCCTCGGTTGGATCGGATCGAAATAGAGTTGGTTGTTATTGTTTTGCTGAAAAATACACCTGACGAGAGACAATGCAATGTTTTAACATAAATAACGAGAAGAGATCGTCACATGACAATGGGAGAGCTCGTTGGCCAATTGCGAATCGCTTATGGAAAAGTTCGACCAACGGATGAAGAACATCGAGGACCCAACCAGCGCGCGATTCTGTGGTGATCGACGAATCGAACGCAGAGGAAAATGCTTGCAGTTGGTGTAGTATAGTGATCCCAGCATGGGCAGTGCATTGTCGCATTTACAGTATATATAATTATAATATGTGAAGCGTGTTCTCCGATTAAAACTCGAGCCGTTTATTAATTATTTAAGTTAGATCCAATAGTTCGATGAGTGTGATTCGCGGCAACTTCAATTGTATACAGAATTCGGCGCACGCGTCTTTCACCGGGACCCCGGCGGCCTGCTCCAACCTTAGAAACTGGCGGTGATCGGTTCGGGAAGATATCTTAATTAAGAAAATCGCAATTAACGAGAGGAGAACACTGGAAATCAGAACGAAAATCTAACTCATTATCTCGTACACGGTTGGAGTTAAATGGCACATCCGCTGAACGATCAGATCTACACTAAATCGTTCACGCCCAGGGAGTATCAGGTAAGACCACAGGTTAATCATTATCAACGAACGTTCCTTTGAATTAAATCATTGCTCAGGTCGAGTTATTCTATGCCGCGAGGAATAGGGACATCATCGTCTGTCTGGGTAAAAACTCTGAGCAGACATTTCTAGTCATCAAAGTGATACAGGAATTTGCCACAAACAACCGAAGGTTCAACTTGCACAATTTAAAGCTGCTGTTGAAACCAGCAACACTCATAATCCAAGGGTTAATCAACCAACTGTTTTTATCTGTAGAGCTTTAAGCAAAGGAGGCAAAAGGTCTGTGTATATATTAAAGAACCAGGAAAAATGCATAACCAAGGAGACATACATTCGTCAGTTGACCGACTTGAGGCCTCTGCTCTGCGAAGGTTCTTGTTCAGAAAACGAGTTCGCAGAAAGACTTGAAACATCCCATGTAAGTAACCATAATTAAAAAACTTGCACATCAATTTGATTCATGACAGGATTTTCATTTGTGATTCAAGGTATTATTAACGACGTCAAAGGCCTGTGCGCAGCTATTGAGGGAAGAGAAACTGTGCCCGAGACAGATAAACTTGGTGATCGTGGACGAGTGTCATAAATTCATAATTGATGATGATCTGAATTACATCATTCGGTCTGTCGTTCGCGTGGAGGGATCCGAAAAGGCGAGAGTGATCGGTTTAGCCGTGCCACTGTTCAGTTTGACGCACGAGCCTGGGAGATTGGAATCGGAGCTGGACAAGGTAGAGGCGACCCTCGAGTGCCAAGTGGAGACTGCTAGCGATATACTGTCCATACTAAGGTTTGTAGAAAGGTTCCAGCGCTTCTTTTTGTCTGTATTTAATAGTTGGACCACGCGTAGGTACAGCCCGAAACCGAGGGAATACGTGATCGAACACTCTGGCAGTCCAGCGGCGTCGGATCTACAGTTGTCGATCAATTTAGAGATCGTTAGAGCCGTAGAATTCCTGACTGACCATCGCCACGACCCAACAGAGATCTACACGAACGAGGAGTTCCTCGAGGACATCCAACGTATCCCGGATCCGAAGGAGAAACCCTTCGAAATGCTTCGCGACTTGCTGGAGATTCTCGAGTCCCTCGGGCCTTGGTGCGCCGATCGGGCTGCTTTGTCCCTATTGTATTTAACAGAGAAACTGAAAGTTAAAACTCCTTACGAGAGACATTACCTACTGTTGAACATGATATCTTCCGTCTTAGTGAAAATCCGTGCGATCTGTGACAGTTACTTTTCAGAGTTAAACGAGAGGGAGAGGATTTACAAGTTCACCAGCCCAAAAGTGCACAGGATATTAGAGATTCTCAAGTGTTACCAGAAACAGAAGGTCGTCAAGTCGTCGGAGGATCAAAGGAAAACCGCGAACGATAACAAGGATAAACGAGTTGACGAGGGAGCGCAACGAAACGAGAGTACAAATGAAGTAGCGAGTGAAACGGTGAAGAAGCAAACGAGGAGCGAGGAGTTTCAAAGCAGGAGAGAGAAGAGGAGCCAGAGGCAGAGACTGACCGATCCGGACTTGCTCTGCGGGGTAATCTTCGTGGACAAACCGTTTGTAGCCAAAGTATTGTTCTACCTGTTGAACGAGGTTTCGAATCAGGACGAGAAGCTCAGTTTCCTCTCGCCTCTGTACACGATCGAGAGGACCGAGGGCGATCCGATTTATTCGAAAGACGTCGAGCTGGAGCACAGAAAGCAGGAGGAGGTGTTGAAGCGGTTCAGGATCCACGAGTGCAACCTGTTGATATCCACCGCGGTGCTCGAGGAAGGTATCGACATTCCTAAGTGCAATTTCGTTATGAGATACGACTTCCCGAAGACGTATCAGTCTTACGTCCAGTGCAAGAGCAGGGCGAGGGCCGTGGACGCGGTGCACGTGCTGCTGGTGCCCAAGGAGAGCTCCGAGGAGATCGTTCGCCAGTTGGCGCAGTACCGGTACACAGAAAAAACGTTGTTGGCCAAGTGCTCGAACAACGAGCCGACGGAGGAGGAGGAGAACGAGGCAGACAGTTACGCGGATCTGATACCCTGCTACAAGCCACTGGAAGCCGAAGACGCGGCCAAGGTGACGTTCAATTCGGCCATATCGCTCGTGAACCGGTACTGCGCGAAGCTGCCCAGTGACACATTTACTCGGCTAACGCCGGAGTGGTCGATCGACAATCAAACAATCGGGGATAGTACCCTCTACACCTGTTCCCTACGGCTTCCGATCAATTCACCGTTGAAATATATCGTTACGTCGTACCCGATGCCGAATCGGGCGATGGCCAGGCGGATGGCAGCGTTACAACTCTGTGTCGATCTTCACAAGAGGAACGAGATCGACGACAACCTCCTGCCGATCGGCAAGGAGAATTTCAAGGCGAAGCCGGAAGATGTGGAAGTGCCGGCGCTTCCGGACGAGAGCAGAGTGGACCTCGCCGAGGCCAGGCCGGGCACGACGAAACGTAGACAGTATTATTACAAGAAAACCGCCGAGGCGTTGACTGACTGCAGGCCCCGCGTCGGCGTTCCCACATACCTCTATCATATAAACATGGTCCTCAGCTGTCCGTTGCCTGAGGAGCAGAACACCAGAGGCAGGCGGATCTATCCTCCCGAAGAGTCGGCCATCGGCTTCGGAATAATCACCCTCAAAGAGATACCGAAGCTCTGTCCGTTTCCCATCTACACGCGATCCGGCGAGGTCCGCGTTAAGTTGAAGCTGAGCAAACGTCCTGTGCTGATCGACGAGACACGGATCGAAAAGATTGCCGTCTTCCTCAATTACACGTTCACCAACGTGCTCAGATTACAGCAGTACCTGATGCTGTTCGACGACCCGAATACCTCAGAGAACTCTTACATGATAGTCCCGGTGAAACTGGATACCGGAGAAGACGGCGGCGGCGGTGGTGACGATGACGACGTGACGGTAGATTGGGATTTTCTCGAGTGCATTTATGAGAATCGAAACACGGTGCCGACCAAGGTCCCGGAGTCAGTCAGGAGGAATTTTCAATTCGATCCGGGCAAATACCACGACGCGGTGATCATGCCTTGGTACAGGAGCCAGGACCAGCCTCAGTATTTCTACGTCGCCGAGATCTGCACGAATCTGAATCCGAAGTCGACGTTTCCCGGCGAGGACTACGCCACGTTCGAGGAGTATTACTCGAAGAAGTATGGTATACAGATACAGAACCTGGATCAGCCCCTGCTGGACGTCGATCACACGTCGGCTAGATTGAACTTCCTGACGCCTAGGTACGTGAACAGGAAGGGCGTCGCACTGCCGACGAGTAGCGAGGAGACCAAGCGTGCGAAGCGGGAGAATCTCGAGCAGAAGCAGATACTCGTGGCCGAGCTGTGCTCGATACACCCTTTCCCAGCGTCCCTGTGGCGGCAAGCTGTCTGCCTCCCTTGCATCTTGTACAGGATCAACGCATTGTTGCTGGCTGATCAGATCCGCTGCCAAGTGGCACGGGCGATAAATCTCGGACAGGAAGATCTTGAGGCTGGCTTCGAGTGGCCGCCGTTGGACTTCGGCTGGAGCCTAAAAGAGGTCCTGAAGCGAGCCAAAGAATCAGAGAGGAGTAAGGGAGCAGCCGCGAAGCTGAACGAGGCGAATTGCAAAAGCCTGACGATCCCCGGATCCCGGATGCAAAGGACGAACGACGAATCGGGGACGAGGAACAGCATTGCCTCGAAGAATTTGTCGAGCGTAGATTGGCTGGCGTCCGAGAATCCGGGCACGATTTTGAGTTTGCCCGAACCTCTGAGGATCGATGAGTTTTCATTGAAGATCGATGACTTTTCGTGCAACAACAACAACTCGGAGCGCGTCGGGTTTCGTTCCCTGAAATCCACCGAGTCGGTGAAGATTGACGAGATACGAGAGGACGACGACGACGACGGAGGAGAGGAGTTCGATAAGCATCGAACGAATCGAGAAGAGTATAATTCGGATCTGGAGATAGGCACGTGGTCCAGTGAGCTGATAACGGAGCTGCCCTCGGACTTCGATTCGGGAGCCGCGTTTCCGGTGAATTTCACGACCCTTCCATCGGGAATCGACTTCTCTTACGTCCGTTCCGTTTCTCCGAATTTCGATTCGGACCTGAGCACCTCCTCAAACGAGGACTACTACTTCTACTCGAGCAGCGACTCCAGTTACGAGAACGACGAGAGCGAGAACGAGGACGACATCGTTGGTAAGAATAGATTCAAGATAGCTTACACTTCTGATAATGTGGCGGAGGCCGTCGAAGATGAGAAGAGAGAAATGAGTAGAAAGAAAGCCATCATGGACATGCTCGATTCCGAATTGAAGCCCGAGGACATGCTCTGGCCTTTGGATGATGACGACGGTTCCTCCTACGAGGAATATAGGAAAAACCATTTGGAGTGCTCCAAGTTGGAAGAGGCTTGCATCCTTCGAAGCGGTGCCTTCGTCCCGTTCGACGTCGCCGTTAATATCAAGAGGAGGCAGCCTCTCAATGACCCCGCCGTTTTTAATGAATCGAAGTCGATCGACAATAAGGACGACACGAACAATTTAAATGGAATCGATTCGAATGATGATGTGAAGAATGATTCGAAGGACGATTCGAAGGACGATTCGAAAATGAGACTACGACGACGACGACACGTTTCTTACGTACGAAGCGTGGTGGAGAGATTCGAAAGTGACTCAAGGAAGGTTCCGGGGGACGAGGAGAGAAGGCGTGAAGTCGGAGATAAGAGTTCGGAGAATCCGCGATGTTACCAAGGAGAGAATCTGTTCAGCTTCGATCATCAGCCGGAGCTGGAAAATCACCCGGGGCCGAGTCCCAGTTTGATTCTACAGGCATTGACCATGTCCAACGCGAACGACGGGATCAATTTGGAGAGGCTCGAGACTATCGGAGATTCGTTCCTCAAGTACGCGATTACTACGTACTTGTATTGCACCTACGAGAACATTCACGAGGGGAAGCTGAGTCATCTCAGGTCGAAACAGGTGCGTGAGATAATTTTCTGATAGATAAATACGACAGCGAATAGAAATCTTTGTCGATTCACCTCATTGTCATCGGTCTTCGATTGACGGTTTCGTTACAATTTTCAGGTGAGCAACTTGAACCTGTACAGGCTGGGCCGACGAAAGTGTTTGGGGGAGAGCATGATCGCGACCAAATTCGAGCCTCACGACAATTGGTTACCGCCCTGCTACTACGTGCCAAAGGAATTAGAGCAAGCCCTTATTGAATCCGGTGTGGTCCCCTCGTCGACGTGGGCCGGCCACGACTTCCAGATCGTTCAACGGAACGATGACGGTGCCGACGACGAATTAACGAAGAACGACGAAGAGCGGGAAGCGACAGCAAGTAATCCCAGCAAGGAGGCTGCCGGGATTGCTAGTAAAGCCCTGACGGAGATAGTGAGGCGAACGGAACTGCGACTGGAGTCGATGAGATCGGAGGCGGACGCCGCAGCGGATCCTGCCGCTGTCACTTGTTTCATTCCGTACAACCTGATAACTCAGCACAGCATCCCGGACAAGAGCATCGCGGACTGCGTCGAGGCGCTAATCGGTGCTTACCTTATCGCCTGCGGTCCCAGAGGAGCTCTGCTCTTCATGGCTTGGCTGGGAATTCACGTGCTGCCAACGGAAGAGGTCACACTCGTCCAGGAACGCGAACCGGAGGACAGAATTCCCGGGAGCACTCCCTACGCGAGAGGCGTCGACAGCAACGGTCAAACCACTTGGACCCAGGTCGGTTTAACCGTATCATGGTATATTCGAAAATAACAGCGACTGACGATGATGGTCGATCGAATTCGTAGATGCGGTACGGGAGATTGGGGGAGCCGCAGAATCCTCTTCTGCATCATACCGCCGAGCCCGAGGAAGAGTTGAGCCGGATGCTGGACGGATACGAGGATCTCGAGAAAAACATCGGGTACAAGTTCCGCGATATGAGTTACCTGCTTCAGGCGTTCACCCACGCTTCCTACCAGCCGAACAGGCTCACGGATTGCTACCAGAGGCTCGAGTTTCTAGGAGACGCTGTTCTAGGTACGTTCGAAACAATCAACGAATAATGGTAGGCACACGATAATTTCCTAACGATCCGTCGACTCCGATCGTCGTAGATTATTTGATAACGAGGCATCTCTACGAAGACTCGAGGCAACACTCACCGGGTGCGCTTACTGATCTACGCTCGGCGCTGGTCAACAACACGATATTCGCCTCGCTGGCGGTGAGGTGCGGGTTCCACAAATATTTCAGGCATCTCTCGCCGGGCCTCTGCGTCGTGATAAACCGTTTCGTCAGGATACAAGAGGAGAACGGGCATTCGATCAGCGAAGAGGTGCATACATACATAAATCCGATCATTTATGATCACAACTTCGTCGAGAACCTCTTAACATTTTTTGGCTGTTAAATGTTCATTGTCGGCGCAGTACTATTTGATCGGCGACGAGGAATGCGAGGAAGCCGAAGATGTTGAAGTGCCGAAAGCTCTCGGAGACGTTTTCGAGTCCCTGGCTGGTGCGATTTACTTAGACAGCGGCATGTCTCTCGACGCTGTTTGGAGCGTCTACTACGCTATCATGAAAAACGAAATCGGTACGTGAGATATATCTCGGATTCGATTCCGTCGGTCTGATTTCGTTTCGTCGATTCGTACATTCGTTCTTTCATTCGTTCATTCATTCATTCTTTTCTCTTGTTTTTCCCTTCCTTCGCAGAACAATTCAGCACGAACGTGCCCAAGTCTCCAATCAGGGAGCTGTTGGAATTGGAGCCGGAGACGGCCAAGTTCGGGAAGCCGGAGAAGCTGGCTGACGGCAGACGAGTTCGAGTGACCGTCGACGTGTTCGGAAAAGGATCGTTCAAGGGGATCGGCAGGAATTATCGAATAGCCAAGTGTACCGCGGCCAAATGCGCCCTGAAGAAGCTGAAACGTTCTCAGAACAGTTATCACAAAGAGAAACTTTGATACGATCGATACGATCGAACGAAAACTTCGAACCATTAGACAAATTTTCTCGCTCTAATCCATTCCTAATGATTACACGTTTTCTATTGTAGGTATTGTACAATTACAAATTCCATCGACGAACCGGTCGACAGATCATCGGCATTTTATTAATATTAGAGAAAAGACAAGTTCCTTTAGAGAAGACTTCTTGTGCGAATCGTTATTTAAACCTGGGCGAACACATCTTTTTATACACGTATCGATATATCGTTAATTGTATCATAACGTTGTAATATAAATACACTACAAATGCGAGAGTGAATGCAAGCCTCGTTTCGTTTATCTTCTACTGGCTAGTCATTTAATTGTATCAATTAAATCCGTGAAGATATGTTAATGAAACAATGCAGGCACTTAGATAGGACCCTTCTCAAGGTTCCTTATAAATATCACCAAATTCTCCTCATTAGAACCAAAGTTATTGCAATTTTAATTGCAGACTTCTGATCAGAAATTAAATAACTGTTATACTACTTGTTCGTTTCATTACTATTAACGAACCGGATAAGGTATTTTAATAAAACTTGAGAGGCACTTAAATGGGAGCCTTCTGAAGGTTCCTTATAAATTTCATCGAATTTTCTGTATCAAAGCCAAAGTTATTACAATTTTGATTAAAGAGTTCCAATACAAAACTGAATAACTGTTACACTTCTTTTAATTACTAGCGCACCGGTTAAGATATCTTAATGAGAATCCTCGGATACTTAGATAGGTCCATCCTGAACATTCCATTAAAATTTCATCGAGATCGATACGGTGGAAATCAAGATATTTGAATTTTCGTACAGACGTATGCGTTTTACATGTGGCAGGCGAAGGTAGGTACATACAGCGTTAAGCGAGGACAGATATTCTAGCTGCGGCGGCCATGTTTTATCCGGAAAGTAACAGGAACATAGGATGATAGTGGAGGTCGATTCTGTGAAAGACAAGGAACGCTATATACCGTGCGACAAGGACAGATATAGATCGTGGAACCGACCATGGGAAGTACGATGGCCGCTTCGGGTTGACCAATCGCACCGATGCGCATGATGGCCGCTGGCACGTAGACTAATCATATCGCGTCGACGAAATGATTGGTGCGGGTTATCTCGCGGTGATTGGCATACGCGACGATAGTGTCGTATGCACCGGCGCGATGTAATTGATCAACGGTAGCGGCCATCTTACTTCCGAAGGTTGGTTACTATGTCTCTCCTTGTCGCATGGTATATAGCGTTCCTTGTCTTTCACAGAATCGACCTCCATTGTCATCCTAAGTTTCTGTTACTTTCCGGATAAAACATGGCCGCCACAGCCAGAACATCTATCCTCGCTTAACGCTGTATGTGCCTACCTTCGTCTGCCACATGTAAAACGCATACGTCTGTACGGAAATGTAAATATCTTGATTTCCAGCGTATCAATCACGATGAAATTTTAATGGAATGTTCAGTATGGGCCTAAGTGTCCGGGATTTTCATTTAGTTAATAATAACTACAAAACTGACTGGTAGAACAGTTGACTAAATAATTCTCGATAGACACTTGTAGTTGAAATCGTCGTAACTTAGCTTATCACGGCCGGAAATGTTTTAAACGATAGATGTATCTCTAACTTATCAGTTTGTTTATTTTAATAGGTTAACGAAGGATACTTGAATAAATTGTGAGTAATCGTTGCTACTTTAATCGACCAGAAAAACAATTTTCAGGAAATCTTTTCCTAATAACTTCACGAATTTTTATTTATGGTTAAAGTCTGGCCATTTACGTATCCCTATCAAATCGGCTGTAGACCGGCGGATCGACCGTGAGTAATACTTATTTTATCAACAATGTCATGTGCTTAAAATCGATCGGGACCATTATTATTCAATTAACAAGTCGAGTAAATTCGGCATATTCCGGATGAACAATTCCCTCGAGGAGAGGATTGCAAATCGTTTATTAATTAAATAGAAAAGCTCTTGGCCCAATTAAAAACTCGCCTAAGTACAAATTCGCCCGTGCAGAAGCCCAGTGTCATCGATATACGTATGTACAATTAAATAATTAGTCAGTGGTTCGCCCGTTCACGCGACGCTGCAAATTTTCGTCTCCGACTTGTTTATTTGTCATAATTCCTTCTTCGAATTGTCGTTGGGAAGCGACAACGATCCCCTGACGGATCTACTCTCGAGAGAAACACATGTCTGCGACTCCACCGCCTTTTTCTTCAGCAGAGATGCCCCTGTGAATCCTGCGAAACGAAAGTTTTCAGTGCTCTGTCCTCCTAACGAAGCCCCATGCACGGGCGGAGATCTCGTTGTGAACTTCTATGTTTCACGCATTCATTAAATTTACCTAGAATGCCACAGCCCAACGCGGCTAGTCCTCCTGCTTTTAAACCCGCGATCAACCCGATGGGTCCTCCAATGCAAGTACCGATCACGGCGCCTGCCAATGGATACATGCCAACTTTGTATCTGGCTGCCTTCTGTAGGAATTTCTCACCCTCGTTCACATTCAAACTCGTCTCTTCAATTCCCTCTTCGGCTCTCTCCACCAGCTCCTTCTGTGCCTAATGTCGTTCAAGAAAAATGAGCTGATGAGATCGAAACGAATCTAAAAAATGTAACATTGATTCTCAGTTAAATTTATAAAATAATAATAATGATTGATTACATCGACGATCTTGTTGAAGTCGATGAACAGCTGATACAACTGATGAATGTCTCCCTGCAGACTGTTCCAGGCATGCAGGCATGTCTGTTGTCTTTGCAGCTGCTGCTGTTCCTCGTGCAACTGAATCTGTTTCTCGTCAAGTGGATGGTCCTCGGTGTCGTCTTCATCTACGGGTAAGTGGTGCAAGTCTGGCGGTGGCAAGCTCAACTGCAATTCTATTTGGAAATTCTCGGGGTAAGCAAAACGATGACGAACAACTGATCGAAAATCAGATCAGATACAAACCCATATACTCTTTGATAGCGTTCAGGATACTGTCTCTAGCGTTAGCAGTCAGTTTGTCGAACTGGTTGATGTCACTATCGAGCACTTGGGACCTCAACGTGTCCATTTGATAAAGAAGCTCCTTCAACTGTTTCACAATCCTCGAAACGTTCACATGTTCTTTGTGTATCTTCTCCCAGTCCTTTTGGGCTTCGTACTGAAAACGAAAAGGAAACCATATGTCAAGATGATACAGAATAAATAAATAAATTCGAATCGTCTCCTACTTTGTTAATATTATTTTTATGCCTCCTCAAAAGGTCCACATGATGCGGTATAGCGACGTTGAAATTGTTTATTTGTATTTCTAAACGCCTGATCGGCTGTTTCATTCCTAGGTTCTCGAAAGCCATTCTATTTTCGTTTATATCACTTTCGCGTATTAAAAATAGATCTGGTTCTCATTGTTTCTTTCTGGATCGAAATCACTTTCACGAGATCAAAACCAGTAATTGTTTGGAACTCTCTTTGAACTTTGAACGTGAAAATTTGTTGACCCCAGATGAGAGGTGAAAAATAGAGATCAGCTGATTTAAAGGGGCTCAGCGCAAACAGCGCAACTGCGTTTGATTCTTGGATTCGTGATGGAAAAGGAAGCCAGCTTCGGTCGCGTTCTACAGAGGGCATTGTAGATACTATTTTGTTTGAACGCGACGAATTCGGTAGAACGTCGATACTGTCGTTTCAGATAAGTGTTTGTAAGGTTTCATCAATTTTGTTTTTCCAAAACTACCGAAGCTTCAAACGATTCTTGGATCTTCTAAATATATCATTCCTCTAGCTTCATACATTTTTTCAGCTCTACTATAAATATGTTCTGTTGTATAATCAAGTGATTTATTCTTTCAGAGCCGGCTACACCTAAATTACCTGATCCTACACCCTTGATGATTATATTTTAATTAAGCTTGCAGTTAACGATGCTCCGATAAAGATAAGTTTTGAAAAATCCCAGGGAAGGGAGCCAGAGAATCGTCGAGGATGTCCCTGACGTCCGAGACGAGTTAATTAACACCTCCCCACCTGGATGGCTGCAGCAGCCAGAGCCAGGTCCTCGAAGGCTTTTGAAAAAAACCACTGCTTTTTCCGACCCCCTTACGGGGTTGGGTAATTAAGACGTAGTTTCTTTCATTTAGATACCGAATTCTAAAGTAGACCATTTTCATTTTATTTCACCAGAACTTTAATTCGACTGTATTTAACGTTGTTCAACCCATGAATAGGAGGCTGGTTTCAGAATTTAATTTGGATAAGGGAAAGGGTGGTAGGTACATCGTCATTTTCTCTCTCTCTCTCTCTCTCTCTCTCTCTCTCTCTCCGGGATCGATGGATCCGTTCTGGATCGAGAACGGTAGAACCGTAATGGAGCGTGTGCCGTTGACACGACGACGACGTTGAACGACGGAATATTTTCCACCCCTCCCTGTTTCCGTCGATCAACCAATTAGGCTCCCCAAACCACCCCCAGCCACCTACTAAAAAGCTTTTATACTTAAACGAGAAATTCCCGCTGACATATTCCGCGGCACTCTCGCAAAAAATGTATTGCTAACAATTTCTGTTTACCGTTGTATCTTCGTTTAAAAAATCGTTCGGAGAGAGAGAGAGGCGAAAAGCGATGTTAGGCCCGGTAAATAGGGGGATCGGTTCTCCACGCTTGGCAGCGTTAATTGACGGAATTAGAGGGCAGCCAGCGAAATTGCAAGCCAGATTTTCGAAGCTGGCCCTCCTCTTTGGGGAGGTAGGCGGTGCGGAATATGTATAGTCGATCGGTCGAGTGTTCATCGCCGGATCATTCGCGCGGATTCCGATTTTAATTAATGACGCGAGCAACCCCCAAATTCGGACACGAGCACACGATTCAACGGTTATCGCTGATTGCTGACCCGGAATCTACCTGACCGTGCCCGAACCTCAACGAACCCGGCGATTCTATTTTTTAGCCGCTCACACCCTGACCTTTATGTTCGCTTCATCGTGGTGATAGGAAGAGATGCATGTACCTTCGGAGCGTCGTTTCTGCCAGCCAAGCTCTTGTCAAGATTCAAATGCCTTTTGATAATCCAAAATCGCAACATATTTCCTTAATCGATTGAACCTGTGAAGACATCTGTATGGAACTTGATAGACACTTGGCCAGATCCTTTCTAAATATTACTTTCGAGTTTCATGCAATTCTATCTGGGAGGAAGAAAATTATAACAATTTAAGCGAATCCGTTCTCAGGATTATAAACATTCATTATATCAATATCCTGAATATTTTTCTTGAATTTCTTACAACTGCATCACGGTGTTATGTACATCACGTAAAATCGCGTTTTTTCGTTGGGCGGCAGGATTGATTTTGTTTATTTATGAAACTCAAGCCGAGCAGGGGGATACTTTTGAAGGAGTTCCGAGATCTTAGGTCTTACCTCGCCGCCCATCCCTCCACCTCTAAATGGGATTATCGGATAATCCCGTAAGCCGTTTGGAATATTTCGGACCTGGAACTGGTAAGGGGTATCATCCCCTATCTTCCTTTTCCCTGCCACTCACCCTCCTAAGCTGTATCATGCCCGTGACCACTCGCAGATTACACTGTACGTTTCCTCCAAAGTATCTGGATAGTTTTATCCCCGATAGTTTTCAGAAATTTCTTCTTTTTAATACATTGAATAGAAATTGACGAGACATCGGGGATTAGCAATGTCTCTCTCTCTCTCTCTCTGTTTTGAGTCTCCAGATCATTTCAGCTCGTAATTAACCAAATTCATTGAAAGGGAATCGGTCAAAGTATCCCGTGCGTATGAATCTTTCAAACGTGCGTCAGGATTTCTTGAGAGCCGTTTCAAAAATTGTCGAAGAGCATATCGATCGATCAACAGGTCTTAAGTTCGAAGGGAAATATCGAGGGCGATAAAAACCGGTTAATCCCACCCCGTGCGCGTTATTTCAATCTTGGCCGGGAGATAAGTGAGACGGATATTAATCAAAGAAGGCTTTGCCTCCGGTAAGATTTCGTTTTCAAACTTTTTCCCGTCCGACGTTTCTGGACATTAATCAGGGCCGTCTTTGCTACCTCGTTCATCATCCCTTCCGTCTTCGTTTCACGGTGGCGTGACGTCGAAATCAAACTCCTTAAAGAGAAGCGTAAGAAACCGTACGATGCCAAAGTCAACGGTTTTTCAGAGGAATTATAGAAAAAGAATCGATGGTCCTCGATCAGTCAACGCGTATGTACTGCTGCTGGCCCGTCACTCGCACGTCGATCGGATTGTCAACGAGCTTCCCTGGACGAGTTTCCATCATTGCGACACACGCCAATGCGATTTACCTATCACGTTTATCATTCCTGTCGGTGACTCGGTAAAACATTGTCCGAGCAAATCCTGTTTAAACGAATTTTCGACACGTTTTCGATATGGATCTTATTCGGATTCACTGCAAATCATAGCCATCCACAATCACAAACGATGTTACGATATTACTCTGATCTTTCTTTTCAACATTTCATTTTCCATTACCTGGCGTGTAGTCTCAGTAGCTTCCCGAGGTTGTAACGGGAGATTTCACCACGACGCAAACGGACCGTCTTATCTGAATCCAAACTTAAACGTGGTTAAGTCAATAGCGGAACTAAAACTAACTAAGCCTGGGAGTCTTCGATTAGTTTCCCAGCCAGGAAACTCTCAACTAAACCACAGATCCCAATTCCAGTGATAAACCGCAAAAACGAAGCCTGAGTCTATTCAAACAAAATGCCATTGAGTGACACGTACGATTCTTCGAAATTTCCACATTATTTATTTAAACAGATTACGGATCGAATGGTTTGGAAATATTCTCATACATACTACTTGTCCAGTAGTACGTCTTTGATGATTTTCAGGACATTCGGTACGCTGTAATCGGAGATAGAGAATGATAAAGTCATGTTTGAAACAACGAACCGACAGGTTTCTACCGCGACTGTACCAGCACTAATCAGGCACTCAGCGCATTCTATTACATAATATTGAGTCTGTACGATTCTGGAGCGCGCAGTGCACCGTACGACGCAGTTGAATCAACATATTATCGCGCATAAAACACCTTGAAAAAGATTGGCGAAAATCCAGCTTGCGGCGATGAAACGTTGGGAAGGGAAAACTGCGATCGTGACCGGTGCCGGATCCGGTATCGGTGAAGCCGTGGCTCTCGCCCTGATCCGGCACAACGTGAACGTGATCGGATTGGACGTGGGTGACTTCCATGTCTTACGGAATGAAACAGAGAGCAACAGATTGAAATTGGTCAAGGCAGACGTCAGCTCCAAGAAAGATCTCGAAGATGCTTTCGGCTTCGCGGAGGAACGTGGAGGAGTCGATATTCTGGTGAACAGCGCTGGTGTCGTGGATTACAAACGAATAATTGGTAAAAAAATCTCACGATTATCTGATCATCGAAACGTTATGCGTTGCACTGCTTGTTTCTCTAGACAGCGACGTGGAGACGTTCCAGAGGCTACTGAACATCAACGTTTTGGGCATGTCCTGGTGCACGAAGCTAGCCGTGGAATCGATGCGGAAGAGGAACGTCGAAGGGCACGTGATCAACATCAACAGGTACTAAAAGAGTAAGGTAATCTCTGAGGTACGTCTAAATTTCTTTATTTGCCAAGCGTTTTGGGACACGAGATTCCTTGGAGGCCTCTGAGCGAGTCCGACGGTAGCAACGGGTTGAACTTGTATCCGGCGTGCAAGCATGCCTGCGTAGCTATGACGCACACGGTGCGTCGCGAACTGGCTACGATGGACGAACCGAAAATTCGTATCACTGTACGTTATTTATATTTTATCGGAAAGACAAGTACTAATTCGACTTTTTCAGAGTATCTCACCTGGACTGGTTAAGACCAATATAGCCAAACATGCGAGCGAAGTGGCGAAGATTTTAGAGGAACTGCCAGCATTGCTGCCTGAAGATGTTGCCGATGCTGTGATCTACGCTCTTGGCACGCGACCTCAGGTCCAAGTAAGGTTCGAACGTTTGATCGATCAGACAGTCTTGGGAGGATTGAATCTGATCGATCGATTTCAGATAACGGAGCTGACCATCCAACGTACCGGCGAGGCCTGAACAACGAGTCCCTCAAACGTTCCACCGGTGAAACTGATTCGAAGACAAAAAATGTAATGTAGAATAGAACGAGAAATGGTAAAATCTGCAATGCGTAATGGGAGAATCACGGTATTTCCTGATAAGGGAGAAAGTTCACTGGCAGGCAAGGGAGGGGAATCACTCAAGGGGGATGAAAAAACGATGGCTGGGATGGTCTCAACTTTTCTCATATCGTTTCGCTTTACTTGTTCGTTATTACCCCGCGAGGATGAGTAAAATTAATGGCTCCCATTTGGAACTGTTCCCGCGGAGCTCCATATTTTTTTTTCATTTAACTCGGGAATTGATAATTAACGTTCGTCGAAGCCAGATCCGCGATTTATTCAAACAATGATCGTCAAATAAAATTTCTCGAACGACGACACCGTCATTTATTTATTGTCCCGTCAGTACGTCCCCGGCGCTTCGAATAAGGGAGAAACTCCGTGGGCCCGACAGAACTGGCGATACGAAGACTTTATAGATTAAAAATCCCAGTACCTCGGTTTCCAGGAGATTCGAACTGTCCTCTGGGTAAAGTACAATTTTTGGGAATACCGTTCGAGTATCGTAACGACCGGCAGTCGAAGATGGCAGCCGATGTCATGGTTCACCGGTAATTGAACGATTCAATTTGGTGTGCCTGCTCTCCGGCCCAATCAACGAAACGGCTCTTAAAGATCGGTAGGAATTATTGCCGCTGTCCTGGAACGAACGTCCTTTAACTCCGGTGGCCAATGATTCGATGGTATCGATTCCAGCTTGATCGTTTCACCTTTAATCACCTTCCTCCCGAATGTCCGCGACACCGACGGAGAAAAATGTTTAACTGGATACGTGCAGTAATGAAGTTTACGGGATCGTAGCTTTCTCGTCCATCGCATGTAATTACTTCGAGGACCCTCTCGCGTCGATTCGATCGGTTCTGCGGTAGGGGGCCATTTCGTCTTCAAATAGAAATATCTCATATCCATCCAGGAGCCACCACGGCCGCGGGGACATATATACACGCGTACCTATAGAATCTCCCTTCCGCGGTATTAATTAAGGCACTCACAAGCCGCAGGTACCGCAGGCACTCGTGGCACTCCGATATCAAATCGATCAGGTTTACCACCTTTGCCCAATCGACATTCTCCGGCCACCCGGTTTTATATCCCGCGGTCCTAATTAGTTGCCTGCAACAAACGGCGCAGGAATTGTTGTCGGGAATATCGAAAGGTTCGTGTCTTAAAGTTGAGAACTTTGTTTCCTAATCGAAGCTGCTCTCCGATATATGTTAAGTGCCAGATGACGCTCTGTCTACAAGGGAACACCGGTCGGGAAAATTCGTACCGGGAGAGGTAAGTTTCTTCTTAACAAAAAGCCGCCTCGCTCCTCCGCGGCGCGGGTCTGATGGCAAATTATTTTCTCTCCTTCGGGAGGAACTTTTCTCCAATATCCGACGACGCAGCATCTGGCGTCAAACGGTGTCTCGGTCTCGCTCTCGGCTCCTAGGGCGAGAAAATCGATATTTCTTTAAAAAAAAAATAACTCACTCGGAGAACCCGTGACTCTGCCACTGTTTCAGATATCGTATCCAGCTTACGGTATTACGTTGTAATACGGAGCTTTTAATAAAATTCTTCGCTGCAGCGTACTACCCCGTTGAATATAATAATTCTACTCCTGCGAGCTCCACGGTTTTCTTCGGCCATCATTTTTTCTGCGGATCATCGACAGACGCGAATGTCCGGGACGCGTTGCTGCTGCTCGACGACAGATCCTGTTCCTTCTTTTTTTAGAAAAAAAAAAGGTAGAGAGCGAGGACGAGCGCGAGGGTGGGTATGGAAAATCGATCGAGTCGGATGCAGATTTAATGCGCGACGCAACGAGGGGGGCGGCTGATAGGCGGGCATTGAATATCGGTGCTTATATCGCAGCTCGCCTATCGATGGACGATACTTTATGCGAGGACCGTTTATTGAAATATCGTCGCGAGCTGCGAGAATTATTGCCGTACTCCCTCTCCCTCTCCTCTCCCTATGCTCGGCATTCAATGCATCGCGACCCATTGTGTGCCCGTGTCATTTCGATGTGTCTCTCAGCTACCATAAAGATGTCCCCATCGGTTTTGTTAACGTAATTAGATAGCCGAGACGGACGTATTTATTTTTCATCGGTAACAATATATATAGCTTTCCATTTATACGTAGAGATACGATTAAAAGTGCAGCCGTTGAAACGAGCTAGTTTGACGGGAAAGTGGTGTAAAATTTGTGGACAAACGAGACGAATTGGGGCATTGTCAGAGGGACAGAATTAATTAATACGCGGGTCATCGATGACCGGGAGCCCGGATCGATTATCCTCTATTATTCGTTAACGATGGTCGAGACCGATTCGATAAATGTTTGCCCCCCCGCCTGGTTGTACCTATAGCGGCGCGTTCTGAAAGGACCCTGGAAATTGCGGTGGACGCGATTGTGTCCAACGGATTTCAACCAACTACCGCTTACGCTGCCTCGCTCAAACTGCAGTACAATGCTGATACTTGTGTCTAATCAAAAGTGGAATCATTCATCGCTTTGATGTCCTTCAACGTTTTTATCGTTCAAACAGTGACTTGATCGCTTCCCATCGTTCAGATACGACTGGCTGTTCGTTAACTGCCGGAATTAATATTGACCGTTTCCCGAAAAATTCGAATGGAAAGTTCGGAGCGGCGACCTTCGCTCGTAAATCGTGGCAATCGGTACAGCCGATCATAAAAAAAACGAGCCCGTGGGCTGTAATAGACCGTTATTTACGGGGGCCCGCGACTATAAAAACTTCGTTGCCCCTAAATATAGACAGTGGCCATTACGTCAGAACGTTTTATGCCGGGAACACCGGCTTCGGGGCTGACAAATTAGGAACGATAGCTGGTCGAAATTCGCGGACCGTCTAGTTCGATACCAGGTTTGAGACGTGTCGAATTTTCCGAGCCTGGGAACGATCCGTTGGAGTGGTAAAAATTGTGGTCACAGTATACAGGGAACCCGATATCGCGAAGGGAGAGCCGGTGGCTCGGGATTCTGATCGCGTTACACGCGTAGTAAATTACGGTTAATTAATTGGGACGGTTCCCTGACGTGGGTAATCACTCCATTAATTAAGTCGACCGCGAATTATACGCTTTCTTAGCGTAGAGTACTCTAAGTAAGTACTTATGTGAACGAGCTGTCTTCAGCCGCGTGCTTCTTCGCCGTTTTCGAATATTCAACCGTGTTTTCTATCCGGAGGACAGCCGAATACGCGCTCAACGATTCCAATCATCGTTAGAGCGGACGCGTCGATGCTATCTGCTCTAATTTCCATCGTTAGCCGATTCCACCGTTCTCGGGAAATCTGCAACAGAAAATGCGAGACAGTCAGATTATAACCGACTCTAATGAGATCGCGATCCAAGCGATTACTGTGAAAATTAGTCACTGTCAATTTAAGTTATCGAAGGTCGGACCGTTGTGAAACTTTAATGTCACGTCCCGTATCAATCACTTTCGTTTGCCCTAAACGGTGCAACGTGGCAATACGTTCCCGTATACGTGTCTCGCATGTGGATCTCTACGGGCGCCGTAATCGTCTACAGTGATTACGCATTATCATAATCCTACTGAGGTCTGCATTGATAATTGTGGGATCGTTTGGAAAGGGATCGATTCGTGTAAATTGATATTTCCGGCTAATTTCGACGGTGTACCGCGTTTGGTCCGTTAAACGTTTTCGTTTGAACGTCAGTGAGAAGTTAAAAAGAGACGTAAACACGGCCGAGCCGGCTGGCCGGGGCGAGAGCGCACGAGTGAAAAATAAGATGAAACGAGGAACAGATTGGAAAAGCTCGGTGGGTAACGAGCGAAACTAATTGTAAGTTATAATTAAACGCCGCTTCTTCGGTACCCTCGGCAAACGGCGATCGTGAGAGAAGTTATATTTTACTTTGAGAAGCTTGAAAATATTTTAATCCCCCTCCACCGCTCGCCCGCCCTCTTCCCACGGGGTAATTAGCCGTAAGCATTGTAAAAAACCATCCAGCCCCGTCCCGAACGGCGAATACCTTGTTTAGGTGGGTGAAACTTTTGCAATTTAGCTACAGAAATTCTCCGAGGCCATCAACGTTCCAGCATCTAGCCCAGACGGAAGCGAACAAATGATTTTTTAATGATGTTAAGTTAAAGATATTCTTAAAACGCGATCTTCTGAGTGTCACACCGGTTGAACGATTTACATTCGTCGAACGAGATTTGTCATAGAAAATTTGAATGCTCCAACAGATTCTGAAGAGAGTCGTGAATATTCAATAATTCGCCTCCTCCTCTTCTCGTACGGGGGAGTTTTCCAGATCGTCTGTGGATTCCCGTTTTTCCTATTTTCTTCGCGGAATCACGGCTCGAGCAAAGAACGAGGAGGGAAGTTGTGTCAGAGGGTAGTCTCAATCCCCCACCTCCTAACGTCGTCGTCGTCGTCGTCGTCGTCGTCGGGGTTAGACGTTTCCGATGAATCGATTCGAGCAAACTCCCTTTCCCAGCGGGATACGAGCCACCAGGAACCAACCACCCACTGCCTGTACTCTCACCTCTTCTTAACTTCCGGTAACGAGGTTCACCGATCCATGGATCGACCCTTGGGTACCTCCCGACGTTTCTTCAAACGTAAACTTGCCGATTGTATCCAAGGGACAGAAATTTTTAAATCCCCACTGAATTTTCAACCATTTTTTACTCATCGCTCGACTCGTTTTAGCTCGCATCTCTCTCGACTATTTTCCTGTCGCAAATAGAACAAATTAAAATCTACGCTTCTCGTTGCTTGCGAACGTTACAATTTCGAATTTTCTCTCTTTCCGTCTTACTCGTTTCGACTTCTATCGCTTTTCACGCGTTTCACGCCTGTTAATCGCGTTTGGACTCGGAGAAATTTTCGTGCGGAGCGCTTATTGGGTCGGCCGAGTCTTCTACGAAGTTTGCCCCGTTCCAGGTCCTCGGTGGGAACGGTTGGAAGACAGAGGAAGCTATTGAAGCGGAGAGAGGCCGTTTCCGACGCGACGTTATCGCAACAATTGAAGCCCCGTGGGCCCTGCTCGGCCACGATAAGCTTCGGAAACAACCCCAGCCATTACTACCACCTGTACCACGCAGGAGTAACCGTCTCCCTAGCTGAATTGGCTGAAGAAACGGCTTTTAATTGCCTCCTTTCGGCAGTTACGTGCCGTCGTGTCATTCCCATTCTATTCAATTGTTTCATTTCGCTTCCCAACGCTCTATTTCTAGACATGTTTCGGGTATAACGTTACTCCCAACGTACCGGATAGATCCCAATATTTCACGATCTTTTCCCTGCAAAGGTTCAAGAAGTTCTATTCATATGATTTCTGCACATGTCTCAGACACGGGTCTCACCTAGATTTACCCTAAATTTCAGCTGTCGAACGTTAACAGTTCCCAGGATGCGCTCATTCATATAAAAAGACAACGATTATGCCTGTACGAATTTCGGATGCCTCGTTGGAGGAGGATCGAAATATGTCTGGCTGTCTATCGGTCGAAATATTGAGGAAATCCGATTAACAGTTCTCCGTGTGGCTAAGCCCTATCTGCAGAGGATTGGTTCGAGGATGGGAACAGGCCTCGTTTATTAATTCAAACCGAAGTTAACCCTCTGTGTTTCCTATCCACCGATCTACCCTGCTACAAAACGCGAGGGTGAGAGAGAGAGAGAGAGAGAGAGAGAGAGAGAGAGAGAGAGAGAGAGAGAGAGTTAGCTGCTGCGCGGCTCCTGCTACTACACGAGTTAATCCTCTCCGTGATTCTGTTGCCCTTTACGAATATCCCCGAATCTCCTAACAAATGACTAGGAAGTTTTTCCACCGCAGATATTAAAAAATGAATTATTATTGTTTTACATGAATTAGCATTCTATGATTATCATAATGAACTATATCCGCCTGATTTGCAGTTTCAGCCGAGGGACAACTGCGCATCCGGCCGGGAATCGAATATTTCTATTATTTGCGTTAGCACTGCTAATTGACAACGCAAACGTTTGCCGACTCCGGGAAATACCGACGAACGAGTCATTGCAGTTTCCAATTTTATTGTAAAAAATATCACAAGATATTCGAATCTTAACTAGTCTGTAGAAAAGCTGGTGAACTTAGAATTAATATGAACGACGACGTCGCTGCCGCTGCGCCGTTGTCTTAAGTACGAAACGAGATTCCAAGGTCCGAATCCGGTCAGTCCACAGCTAAGTCCGCCACAGATTTTTGTCCATGACGAATCGCACCAGCAGCGACAGTACCATCAGGAAGATTATCACTGCGCCGCCCACCAAAATTGCCCCGTATTCTAGACGAAACGAAACCGAACAAATGACACGTTCGAATTGTTAATTGGAACGATTAATTGCACGTGTACTCACTCCTGTTGGTTCTGGCACCGTCGTCCTTGCTGTCAGGCACGTCATCGTCGAAATCTAGAACAGTCCTACCCGAGCCACACATGAACAATCGATAAGGCATCGAGGGACTTTCGTTCTCTCTCGCAAAATTATTTTGCAGGGGTACCGTCGCACTGTCCGATGGGTACGCGTGGGCCGTACGGGAAAAGTCGTAGGACCAGCCGACGTGGTCCTGTGCCATTACGGCACTGTAAGGCGGTGGGTCATCGTCCATGCTGGTCGCCGACGACGGTCCCATCGTCGTCGTCGTCATCGATATCGGAATCAAGGGATTGTCAGAGGCTGGATTCGGATTGGAGGGATGGAGAAACTTGGACGGGAGCATGGTTCAACTGGATCTCGGTTTGTAATGTCGTTGATGGCAATTCTGTTTATTGTAGGACCATTTTTTTATCCCCAACGGTTCGGCCGTCTATAATAAAACGGAATAAATGGGAGATCTGATTTTTTTTCGAGAAATCTTATTTATGTGATTTTTTAATAGATGGTTCAAATATCGGTACGATCCAGCTTCACCCGTCTAACGCCCTCGGGCTCGATGAATTTTTTTTTTTCAACGCCCTTGACTCTATTAACATGTATCAGGTTTCATTAACCGTTTCAACAGGTGATTTCGTTTGGATTTCGTCCAAGTAGTTACGAAATGGGTTTCGGCTTTCACTTTCGTTACATTTCTCTATCAAGCCGATTCAAACCACTCGAATGAGAAGAGCCGAAAGTCTGTTCTTAGAAGAGGAAACCGGGTTCCTCGAAGTTTGTTCAACTCTCCTTGACATTGAAACTCGCTATTGCGTAACATCAAGATTTTTTAACCGGGGGAATGCTGAGCAACAATTTCTCCCTTAACTGTCGAACATCGAACTCGAATTCATTTAATTACCGATTCGACCTGCGTAAAGCACGGCCGTTGTACTACGACTGTGAATTAAACGAAAGCAGCTTTCTCTGATTAATAAAACGATGCACGTGCCAATATCCGAACCATCATCGAATCGGAATCCATACAGGATGCACCGCGGAATGCACGATTCTTTTCCGAGGGTGAAATTCTGGTACATCCTGTATAAAATAAAATTTAACTCTCAATCATAATTACCCACCTGTTTGATTTAGTAATCCATTTCGTATTTGCTCTGAACCTCGCACGTAAAATTGCCGACTCACAGTCCAAACATTTTCTTTTATGTGTCCACAATCTTGTTATTTAATTCCGCTTCAGGCACTCTTTCCGTACAGACGGAATGCAAGTTGAATCTTGTTCATTGTCACAGTTCTTCAACTATCAAATTTCACCGAACATGCACTGGTAAAAATATAGATTCTGCACGTTGATAAGCGAAAACTAAATTAGTGTTAAAGTTAACACTGACTTTAGCAGAGAATTCTAACGAGAGTCTTATTATTGTTGGAAAGTAAAAGTGGCATCAATACGATTAACGTGATTGACATGGTCGCTGTGCCAGTAACCCGATCACTGGATTTTCTAACAGGAAACGCAATTGGATTTTGTTTTCGCAGTGAGATAACGCGAAAGACGTCACAGCAGACAGAAAAACTCGTCGAGTGGCACGAGCGACGGTGTCTCGCAAGCGAAATCGGTTGGACTGGCGATGGAATATCGTCTTAGCTCGGCTTTCCTTGCCTCTCGAAGCGGCCAGGTTCTCGTCAGCCAATCCCGACGTACCTGGGCCCAGAATTCCGTGAGAATGTCGAGGACGTGCCGGCCTCAAGGTCGCCGCTCTTTTTAGCCCGGACTGTACCTCGTCAAATTCATACGCATCGTGACCAACTGTCTCTTTTTTGTAATAACAATCGTCAATATTATGCACCGATCCTACCGGGGTAATCTTTGCCGACTTCATTTTTCTTGCTTGTGTCGCCTTCGACGATGCGGCGCGGCGTCGCTTATAACTCACGACAATATTTAATTACATGTTTCCGGTCCTCCGAGGCCCAGTCGATGAGTAATTGAGAATCAGAATTACTTATGTGTCGCGGAGATTAAATATCGCAACAGATCGAGACACCAGCAGATGTTTTTTTGCCATTGACTCTGTCGAGTCACCGTTGGCCGATTCCTGTTTTTGCAAGGGCGACTTGTTTCTATTCCAGGCCTGAATCCATTATAATAAACGACGATGTCCATCTGGCAGAAGAGTAATGCCATTCGGATCATGGAACATTCTACAACGAATTTCATCGAATCAATCGATCTCTCATTGCTCAATCGAGAACAAAAATCCTACTACGTCGACATGTTTTTTGTTTTTCATGTTCAACAGGTTGCTCCATTGCTCTGCTGCATCAGCATTTTTCATATAAACATTTCCAACGTGATCGAGCATTCTGCCAAACGATAATTCTTTACAAGAAATAGCAACAAGACTTCTCTGATCTCATCGGTTGAACTATCGGCCGATTTATTTTTAATTATCTCTTCATAGTCAGTCGTTTTCTAATAATAAATAACTGATAACGAGCGACAACAGATAAAGTAATAGAATATGAAAAACATTCTTGGTTTATCTATACGTGTCCATATTAGAAGGAAGCGAACTGCATCGGTTGAAGAGGTAGGGGAACCAGTTTCGGGAGCAGGTTCACTGCTTCTAACTGGTGGTACTTATTACATAAAATTGTTGGTTGCGCAACGGAGTTGCCGGATTCCGGCACGGGGAAAAGAAAGGTGCAAGCGAAATGCATCTTAGGATAGTTGAAAAACCGCGGCGCAGAACCGACTCCTACGCATTTTTCTCGGTTTAACGAGGGTCGTTTGTATGCCACGACCTACGCTAAAAATTGATGAATTATACATAACGCCACGCTGGCTGTGTACCTTGCGCGTAGATTATTCGCAAGACCAACGGAAATATGTATACGAACAACATTTCCCGATGTGGTTTCAAATTAGCTATTAGCAATTCGGGAATCCTCTCTGAACGAACCAATAGATGGATTCGGGCGAATAAAAATCTTTGGATAAGTTTTAGACGTAGATTCGATCTAGGTTCATTGTAAATCTTAGTTTACTAGTATCGGCGGAAGATACAATTGTTTATATAAAACGCAATCGAAACGTCCAGAGATCTGAGATAGCACGATGTCTGAATTTTTCTCTGGACGGCCATTGAGCGTATTTAAATAATAATCAGCTTATTCTCAATCGGAGTTGCGCAACAATTACGCAGTCTGCACTTTCCATCGCGTAATTCGATTCCATAACGTCGGAGACGTTGCACCTCGGCTTTCACTCCGAAGAAAGTATTACGGCCAACAGCCGAGACGTAATCTCTCTCTGTTTCTCTCTTTCTAACACTTTATTAGCAGTACTAACGAAACTTAAAATACCGTGCGAACTACTCGACGCTTTTAATTTGATAAATCCAGGTTGAAAAGTGGAATTACGATACGTACGATCGGGTTGTTCACGGATAGTGAACGGCAGGGTCCGAGTGCCAAAAACGTTGGCAAAAGCGAAAAGCAAAAATACTGCGGGGGATGAAGAATGTTGCGAAGCCGGGGCGGGTTGGAAAATGGGTCGGCGCCGAGGCGCTTAATCAATGGTTTCGGCGCCGATCCGGCGACCCGAGCAAAGCCAAATTCGAAAAACAAAAACCATCCCAGAGAGACGATTTAAAAAAAAAAATGTTTCACTCCTATTCCAGACCTTCGTCCTTCGTTGCGCCCTGTATTTAGAAAGATTCACATTACAGATGAATGTATGAGAATTTTTGAAGAAAAATGGTTTTTCATAGAACGCGTTGGGCACGATCCCGAAGATTTAGTGGTTCCGTACCTTTTTGGCAAGGGTTAAGAAAGGTGAACAATGGTTGTCAATAGATAACGTCTCTGCCGTGTATTTCATCCGGTCTGTCCCAGCCAGAATGGGTAAACCTGCGATTTATTACTCTGCACGCTGCTATTCAATTGCCTTCCCACTCTTATTCACTTCCAATTATCCTTTCAATTCTCGTTCGCATCTCTTTTCTCGGGAACTTTGATGTTCATTCAGATGATCTTCGCACACGTTCCGGAAGTGAGCCCGACACAGATTCCCTATAAATTTCAGCTTCTTAGTATCAACGCTCTCCGAGATAGCCTTATTTATACTATAAAACGCGATAGAAGTATCGCGAGAAATCAATGACCGGACAGTGTTTCCGTTTGCATATGAGCAGGGGCCCTATCTTATCAACGCATTAGTCAACGACGCTGGCTGCTGCGCGGGACTCTAACTGCCTGCATTTGCATAAATCCATAGATCTCCCGGATGGCTGCTGGTACGGACCTACGGCAAATTACCCTGCCACGCTTCCAATCCTTTCTGTTATCAGCCCCCATCGCGCCTGCTCCGCTTGTAGTACAATTTTTAACTCCGATAAAAAGAACGAACCAACACTGATCGACGCCGTTCTCAAATTTATATTCGTCCAATTTTATCCTACTTCGAACGTATTTCGACTCGCGTAAAATTTTCCCAAGAGGTCCGGATTGTTACTTATTAGTTAATGGATAAAGATGAGCCGTGGTAAAAGCATGGAATACGATTAACCGGGGGTATCTCTCTCTCTCTCTCTCTCATCCTCTTTTTCCTCGGTGATCTTTGTCAGGCGTTGATCTAATTACGGGCGAGGCGAAATGGAGAGCAGGAAACGCTGAAAGGACGGGTAAATGCGTGATAATGGGCGCCGGCGATAGAAGCTACACTACCTACTGTAACTTTGTTCAAATCGCTTTTGAACAATTTGCGATGGCCGGATGGGAATGCGAGCAACTCGAAATTGACTGGACGATCAAATAGGAATAAATTCGAACGCGATAAGTCGGTGGTAACCGTTTTAACTAGGACGAGCTGAAATTTAGCGAGACCATCTATGTACGTGCAATAATTTTCCGAAACAGCGTACTTGTATTTTTATAAAATTTTCTCGGTACTCGTTTACCCTTTCACTGCGAACGTAAACGCAACAACAATTTCAAAAGGAAGAAGTCGCTAGGCTTGATTTATGTAAATAAACCGAGTTCCCGGCGGCTAAGGCTCCACGCGGGCGGAGGGAAGCAAATATTTTTCGACGCCGTCGTCGTCGTCGTCGTCGTCTGTTCGGTTTATCGCATTTCGCGCACAGCTGACTCGCGAACACACAGTGTCGCGGAATCCATGGCTTCCCTCTGCGTCTGCAAATTTCTTCAGCTGCCGACCACAAATACCTCCAATGTTCTCGAGGTCTTTGAAAAAATTCTCAGAAGCATGAGGCAAACTTAATTTGATTCAAAAGACGTTCCTCACAGAGTATGAGGAGTGAATTCTCTGACCGACGGGGGGATGGTCGGTTGTCCACGTAAACGTGGAAATGGCGTAGGGGTGGCGGGTCCGCGGCAAACAATTCCAATTAACTCGCCGGAATTGGAATAGGACTCTCGACGACAACGAAGACCGGTTGGCTGGTATGGGGTCGAGTCGCGTTCCTTTTCTCACCCTCGGCTACGACGAAATTAGCTGTCCATCCTAACGAAAGTTTGACGAAAAACCGGGTGAATTATTGGCGGTCGAATGAAAAAAGTTTGAATCCATCGGAATTCCATTAACCCAGCCAGTCCTTTAATGGGGGTCGACAAATTTCTGATTGAATTTCCGAAGCCCTGAAATTTCGAACGAACCTCGCTTTACAAATTCTTCAGACGGACGAGTCCGAAGAAAAAATTCTAAAACCACTCAGACCATCGATTGTGCGATAACGTGGACTTACGTGAATCTTTCAGAGAACTTGCAGGAACGATGCAAGAAGACGGTAAAGGGCCGCCCACGAGGCAACGGGACTTGGTTCGAACAATACACTTACTCTCGGTTATATATTGAAGTTTCGTGTGACCGAAACTGTGTGTACCTAGCGTCTAGCCCGGTGCTCTACATTATTAAATCTTACTGTCTCTACGCCCACGTTTGCTGCTCCGTGGAATTTTACATTTGAAATAGCAGAAATCAAACTGCGCAGTCAGTAAATCTTTGAAAAATTGCATATCCATGCATTTCACATTTTATAACTAAGTTCTCAGTAAAGTCGACAGCTTTTCAGAGAAAGCAAGAAAATTCGCAATGATCTCGAAGCCATTAAAATATCGACGAGAACATAGTAAAATCTTGATCATAATTAATGACTATAATAGAAAGTCCAATAATGTTATTTCGCGATTCTTGACCAAACATGATCGAAAGCATTGATCAAATTATTTTATTAAGTAAAACTACCGAACCGGAAACCGAA